GATGGCCTTAGCACAGCTGGCTGGAACCTTGTGGGTTAGTGGTACAGATGGCCTGGAAGAGGTCTCAAGCAGTGCTCCTCAGACCCAGTCCTCGGGTTTTCCAAAGGTCCAGCTGGTGGAAAGCAGCCCAGTGGTTAACTTAGCCACGGACTGGTTGTCTGTCCAGGAGCGCTCACCGGGCCCGTGCTCTGCCCAGCCCCTCCTGCGGTCTCCCTGCTCTCCCTGGAGGCTTGCTGGCAGTGCTGGGTCAACAGTGTGGGCCAAGTCTCTTCTCGCTCCTGGTCTAACGGAGCCTCTGCATCCTGCGCTGGTATTGTGAAAAGCCCTGAGAGGTGCAGAGGTCCCTTTCTGGTCAGGTACACTTGAGGGGTCTCTCTATGGGTCATTATTGGTGCTTACTTGGCACTCTGCGGGAAGTGGTCCCCACAGCACCCATGGTCAAGGCGGGTGTCCTCCTGGCTGGCCTGAGAGGCCCACTGTGAGCCACCCCCATGTGTTGTGTTGGGGAGGGCAGGGCTGGGGCTCAGTGAGGGGACCTGGGCTGCCTTCCCAGCCGTTCAGCCTGCAGTGCCATGTGTGGGCCTGGGAAGCACATGTCTGCCACACTTCAGGTCCCAGCTCTGAATCTCCCCTGAGTCTCTCCATTCCCAGGTTGCTTTATCTCTGGAATGAAGACCGAGTTTCTATTGAGCCCAGGGCCTCCCTCACCCCATAATGTTGCCTCGAGGGTGCAGTGATTGACAGGAGTCCCGCCAGCCACTGTCACTGCTCCGCCTTGCTCACACCAGTCCTGCTGAGCAGCTGGGCTCCCTGTCCCCCCCCCCAGTGTCCTGCAGGATGAGACAGCAGCAGCAGAGAGCACCCCAGATGAGGGAGGCCTGGCAGCATGCCCCGCTATGAGCCTCACCCACTCCTCCCTGAGCTGCTGGTCTGTGGGGGGCCTGCAGGTCTGTGATCCAGCGAGCGACTCGGGCAGACCCCTGGCTGGGGTGGGGGGGCGCGGCTGGGCCTTGTGTTCCCAGCTGGAGCTGGCAGGGTCAGTCCTGATGCAGCCAGTACTTGTTGCTCATGGACTCTGTGTTTGTGAATTCGCCCCTTTGCTGAAATTATCTCTAATCCCAAATCAGTAGTGGGCACACTTTTGTGGTTAGTGGTGGACATTTGGAAAATGTGTCCCCTGCACACCGGTTCCCAGCGAAGGGTGCAGGAGGAGACCTGTGTCCTGCCTGTAGATCTGAGTCTGTGAGCCCACGTGGTGCCGTGGGACTCACACCTCCTGCTTTTTGTGGGTGACTCATGGTGCTGCCCAATGCAGTGCCCAGATCCTGCCTGGCCCAGCACAGGAGGGCCGGGCCATGCGTCACAGAGGTGTGTTCAGTGAGCTTCCTTCAGGCTGCGTTCAGTTGAGGCCTTTGGACAGAAACCTGCCTTGAGGCCATGAGTGGTCACTGGAGATGGCATAGTGACCAGAGGCTCCTGGAGCCTGCCCAGTATTGCCCCCAGGAGCAGGGTCCTGTGTGCTCATTCAGTGCTAGAGGCTCTGTTGTGGGACACAGCCCCTTAGGACCCCAGCCCCGAGCCTGCCACGTGGAGCGCAGCTGTCCGTGGTGCTGCCTGAGTAAGTCTGTCTCAGCTTCAGGGGCTGCATCTGCTCCAGGAGTCCATCCCCTGGATTCCAAGGTGGCGTTCCCTCTAGCCAGGTGGCAGGGGCCATGGTGTCGATACTGGGGTGGAGATGCAAGAGGCGCAGAGGTGAAGCGGCAGAGCCTGAGCCTCTCAGTGCATTGATCCCCTGACAGGGATTAGCTGGGTGGTGACTGTAGGCAGGGGGGTGTGGCTGGAGGAGGTGGGTCACCCAGGAGGTGCCTGTGGTGCCTGTGAGCGGAGCTGCTTCTTGGGTGCCACCTTCCCAGCTGCTTTCCTCAGCCACACATTTCCGCCATGATGTCCTGCCCCACCTCATACCCCAAAGAATGGAGCTGTGTGTGGACTGAGCCTCTGAAACCATGAACCTTAAAACTTCTCATCCTTAAAATTGATCTTGTCAGGTCTTTTGGTCACAGCAACGAGAAAGCTGCTGAATGCAGGTAGACAGGACGGTGGGTTCTGGAGACTAGGAGGCTCCCTCTGGAGGGCAGCCCCTGGGGCTGGACCCAGGGGATTAATTGCTGGGCAGTGGAGGCCTGTGTGTCCCTGGCAGGCTGGCTCTTCCTGCTGGTCTGCCCTGCTGGCACTAGATAGAACAGTGCTGGTGATGCTGGGCTGCGTCCCACTGCCGACAGCCCTGGGTTCTTGGAGCTCATTGGCTCGGGCTCTCCTGGCCCGCACCTGCCTGGCCCGCGGCGGCAGCAGAGGGAAGGTAGTGGACTGTGACGTGGGCCTGCACCTTCAGCACAGTGGGTGCTGCAACTCCCGAGCCCAGAAGGGCAGAGAAGCGGGGCTCAGCCCTGGCACCTGTGTGAGAATCGGGGCTTCTTTGGAAGCTCACAAGTCAGAAACCCTGAGGCTAAAAGGGCTGTAGCCCATGGCCCGCACTCTTCTCTGGTCTGGTTGGGTACTGCATGTATTCAGCCTGCATTTATTGAATGCTTGCTGTGTGCGTGGTGCTGATCTGGGTACTGAGATCTAATAGTAACCAAGTTCCTCCTCTGGGAACGCCTTCATGTGAGTGCATGGGTGTGGAATGCCAGGTCGTGATAAGGCTCTGATGGCAGCAAAGCAAGATAGGGGGTCCCTGTGGATATGTTTAACAGGGGCCGGGGGTCTCTGTTAAACATCTTAGGTGACATCTAAGCCAAACCTGGAGGGATGGGGAGGGGCTGGAGGAGGAGGAGGAGCCTGTATCCTGGCCCTAAAGGGAGTGTGTACGGCACTGTGGGCAGCCAGCGTGGCCAGGGAGAGGTGGCCAAGGGGGCCGACATGGAGTGCTTAGGAAGGACTCTGGACTTTTTCCTGATTTGATAGCAAGGCCCTAGGGAGAAGGCAGGAGAGGGCTTGAAGTAAAGTTCCAACAGCTGCAGGGGGCAGCCTGGCCATGGGGTAGAATCAGAGGCTGGTTTACACGAGGTGTTGGCAGGGGGTGTCGCCTGCTGGACTTTCTGATGGTCTCACGGCTGCTGGGACGTGTGCTGCAGGGGTGCTTATGGGCAGGACCAGCTTGGGGCCTGGCACACAGCACTGTGGCCTGCTGACCCCAGGGTGTGGTCAGCCACCCTGTGCTCCAGAACCCTGTGCGTGCCCAGCCACCCTGCTGGGAGTCCCCATAGGCAGGTAGCCTGCTTAAGCTGCCTGATTCCTGGAGCCCAAGGAGATTGGCTGCAAGCAGGGATGGGACCTGCTGGATCCTGCTGGGCTTGGAGATTCCTAGAGAGCCACCAGCAGCAGGAGGTGCCAGGCCCCAGACTCCCCTGATCCTGCCAATCCTGCCTGCACCCCTGGGGCTGCAGCTGCCTGCTGAGTGCGTTTTTGGACCCGTCTCACGTTCAACAGGTTGCTGAGCACCGAGATTTCCCAGGAGTCTGAGTGTGGCACCTGGCAGATCTGTCTCCAGCTCTGTGAACCGGGGTGCCACCTTCATAATTTGGGGAGTGGCTATTGAGGGTTGAACACAGAGGCGCTCTACCACTGAGCTACACCCTTAGCCCCAGCTAATTAGCAAGAAAAAGGCCGGGGGTGTGTAGCTCATTGGCAGAGCACCTGGGCTCAATCTCTAATACAGAAAGAAAAAAAGACCCATCCTGTGTTTAAAGGGCCAGAGGTTAGTCCAGGAACAGCTGTCCTGCCTTTGCCTAATTTTGCAGGGCTCTGGTGGGGTGGACTGTGCGTTGCATGTCGGGAAAGTGGGGCAGGAATTCAAAGGGGTGAGATGTCACAGACATTAGTTCTACCTGGTCCTTTTGAGCCTGGGCAGCTGCCTGTGCTGTGGGGTCTCCTGGCCTGTGCTCCTGAGGCTGACGAGGCTCACTGACCTGGACCCCTCCCTGAGGGAGTCTGCCTTTACCCTCCTACTTGCTGCTCCTATGTCTGGAGGCCAGGCCAGGCAGGGTGTGGGAGCTGGCCACGCCAGGGCTGGTCTTGAGCCCTGGTTCTCTGGCTAGTGGTGTGGCTGGGGCTCTCTGCTGGGGTCTTAGCATCATGGCTGACCTTCGGGAGGTGGGACCTGGGCAGGTCCTGCTCATGCCACTGACAGCCAGTGAGGCTGGGAGACGGTCCTACTGGCCCTTAGGTTCTCCATGTCTAAGAGCAGGGACTGGGTCCTTCCAGCAGCACAGTACTAGGCCTAGATCAGAGTGGCACTGGGGTGGGAGGGGACAGCAACAGCTAGCGCACCAGTGGTGAAGAGGGCTCCACGGGGTGTGTTGGTTCTGACCAGGAGGGAGGAAGCCCACCTTGTCAAGCCTGCTATTCCAGGAAGGGCTCTTCCACCCACCGTCTAGTTCACCTAGCTCAGAGGCTGAGCCACCTGTCCACTGTCACATAATGATGTGGCCGCATTGGAATGGTGACCCAGTTCTCCTACCAAAACCTGTGGGCTTTTTCTTCTTGTGCAAAAAAAGATGACAAATATTTATCAAAAAGAAATACTCTCTGTAATGAAGTCTGTGCAAGAATTTAATAAGCAACCTGCGCAGGGCTCCTGTTTGCCTGGGAAGCAGCTGGCAAAGGGCGGCTGTCCCTTTAAGTCTGATTCTCCGTGGGAATTGCCGCAGCAGCTCGGGCGGGCGGGTGGAGGTGGGGACTCCGCAGCGGTGGTGGCAGTGGGGATGCCTGATGCCGCCTCCAGAGCCTCGACTCGGTCCTCCAGGCTCCCTGGGACCGGCTGCCCAGCTGCTGTCTGACTCACGCGGTGGATCGGTTGTGGGGGACAAGGAGCCGCGGGAGCCGGCCTCCGGGGGGCGCCCCAGCCTCTCGGGTGCCTGGCAGGCGGGCGGGCGGGTGCTGGGCGGAGGGTCAGCGGCCTGGGCTGGGCGACCGCTCACGGCTCGGGCCTCCCCCTGCAGGGTGCTTCAAGGATGACCGCATCGTCTTCTGGACCTGGATGTTCTCCACCTACTTCATGGAGAAGTGGGCCCCGCGGCAGGACGACATGCTCTTCTACGTGCGCAGGAAGCTGGCCTACGCGGGCAGCGAGGGCGGCGAGGGCAGGAAGGTGGGTGACCCGTGGGAGGCCTGTGCAGGCCAGAAGGACGCCTGTCAGGGCTAGGGCAGTCGCTGGTGCCAGGACGGCTGAGGCAGCGATGTCCGCACCACTGCAGCTTTGAGGAGTGCCCAGCCTCTCACTGCGAGGGAACAAATGGCAGTGCCGAGGCCTGAGCCCAGTGTCCTGGGCCTACCCACTGTGGGCAGGGCCGCCCGCGTGTCCGTCGGCGGGACACAGGCGCCTGGCAGCCTGGCAGGGTGGACATCAGGCAAGCCAGAGGGGGCTGTGGAGCCGGGCCGGCTGCTGAGCCAACGCTCGCCGCCCAGGCAGCCAGTCGCAGCCCTTGCCGGCCTGGCATCTGCTCTGAGAGCCCGAATACATGCAGGACCGGCCAGTGGACAGGCCTGGGAGCCAGGGTAAAGGAGCTGACGTGCCTTCCTGCCAGGCTGGCCTTGGAGGGACCAGCAGGAGACTATTGGCCAGAGAAGCAGAAGAGCCAAGTGGGGAAGGGCCTGGAGAGGTGGCATGGCCAGTGATGGGACTGGGGACAGGGAGGGTGTAGAGGCCTGGCAGAGCAGTTTCAGTGGTGGGGGGTGGTGAGGAGGAGGCCTGATTGGTGGGGCCATCCAGCAGGTGTTGGTTGTGGGACCTCTCAGTCCAGCCACCTCACCTGTCCTGTCTGGCAGGCAGTCTAAGCCAGCTGCCTAGACCAGCTTAGCCCCCTAATTGTTGGTGACACTTCTAGTCACCTCTTAGGCTCAGGCTCTTATTCCATAAGGGTGGGGCCCTGCTGTCATGCACTCCTGGGTGGCTGGAAGGCTTGGGTGATGTGACTGACCACAGAGATGCCCTTGGCAGGACACAGCTGGTGTCTGGCTCTTCCTCATGAGGGTGACTCTTGCTGTGGGTGCTCCCTGCTCCAGCCTCAGCATGGCCCTGGGGGATGGGACCTTCTCTCCCTTAGGAGGTGGAAGTCCTTGTCTGCCCAGCAGGGAGTAAGTAGCTGGGGTAGAAAAGCTCTGGGCCCCAGCCTCTGTCCCTAGCCCTCCAGCCTGTTGGTGACTGCTGCAGTCAGGTTGCAAAAAGTTCTTTTTGTGAAATGTTGGTCTTTTCCTCAAGGCAAAGGCTACTGTGGCCAGAGGCTGTGGAGAGGCCAGGGCACTGGGAGGCATTCTTGTCTTCCGTTTCAGGAGAGGTGGCAGCTCTGGTCAGGAGGCAGAGGGGAGGTCAGGTCTGTGTGCCCTGGAGAGGCCTGGTGAGGGGAGAGAGGGTTGGCAGAGATGGCACATAAGAGAAGTGAGAGATGTGAGCCCTCCTTGGGGAAGAGCAGCCTGGGCCCAGGACTGACGAGTTTGGAACAGGAGGGGCAGGGCTGCCTGCAGCTGCTCTTGAAGATGTGGGGGGGTTGAGTCCCACAGGAGCACTGTGCACCCACGGTGAGCCATGTGCAAGTGCCCTTTGCCCCAGCATTGCAGCATAGAAGTGACCCAGAGCTGGCCACTGTCCTTAGGACCCCTGTCTTATGGAACAGGCAGACATCATGGCCAGTGTTGTACAGAGTCACCAGTGCTCTGATGGTGGGAAGAACAGAGGGCCAGTGGGGGCTGCAAAAGGAAAGTAACATTTGCCCACAGGATAGCGAGGAAAGCTGTGTACTGTGGACACCCCAAGGGGAAGGACTAGCACCTGTATTATGGGAAGGGGGTTCCAGATACCTGTGACCCAGGGTGTGACAGTGTGTGACATATGTGACATGGCATTAACATAGTGCCTTTCCCGGGTAGCGTTTGGTGCAGTATGTGGAGGGCCAAGACCTGCCCAGAATCCCTCTACACAGGGCACTTTTTATAGCTCACCAGGCTGCAGTGCAGAGGACGGCCTGCAGGGGGCGGGCTGGGAGCACAATCATGGAGCCCCGCCCCATGGAGAACTAACTGCAGACCAGCTTTGTTTGCTGCGCCTGCGCACCCAGAGTCTTCTGCAGCAAGCATGGAGCCAGCTCCCACCCCTTCCCACTCCTCCCTATCCTGTTGGTCCCCGGTTGCCATGGTAACCATATGGGCTAGTGGAGGAGGGTGGATAGGCAGAGCCAGTGCTGCAGTGTGGGTGGGCACAGGATGCTGGGATCTCTGCACCCTGCTGCAGGGACACATTAGGGATCCTGGCCCAGCCTGTCCTGGGAGTGTCCTTGATTCCCTACACTCTGTTTACACCACCCCTGGATGAAATACTCCTGGTGGCCATTTTGTCCCTGGCAATGATGAGCACTGGGGCACCTGTGGCCTACTCTGCTGGTGGCCCATGCAGTGTGCCACTGTCACTCCCATTGATGCCCTCAGCAGTCCTGGAGTACAGATTATCTTAAACCCACTCACAGGAAAACCAGAGCTCAGGGACAGGAAGGAGCCTGCCTTGGATCCCATCACTTCCCACGACGCGGCTCTGCTCCATCCCCTTTTCTCTTGGAGTAGGTTTTCTGGAGCATAACAGGCATGCAGGAAAGCACACCGGCCAGCGTGCATAGCTTGATGGTCTCTCTCAGTGGGAACACCCGGGGTCGCCAGCCCCCAGATCCAGGCACACCTGAGGCCCTGGCCATCCTCGGCTACCTCCCTCCCCCAGGGCAGGCCTGGCTTCTTGCACCCCTGGTCATGGAGTTGCTGCCTCCTCGGTGTCTTCTGGGCTGTGTCTGTTGACTCAGGTGGCTGTGGTTTGTCTGACTGCTGCATGCTGTTCCCCTGAGTGTACCACAGCCGTCCATCTGTCCTGTGGGTGGACATCTGAGCAGCTTCCAGCACATCCTTGGACCTTTCTTGTGGTGCACACTCGGGCGCTTTGCTGATGGGACTGCTGGTTCTGCTGTCCAGGGTGCGTGGTTCTGATCTGAAAGTAGCCCTGCGCTTGCACCTCGTACCTGTCCATCCACTCACTGGCCAGCAAAGACTTGCAGAGCCTCCACCACATGCAGGGTCTACAGCCCTGTTTGGGGCTGTGTTCTCTTGGAGGAGACTAAACAAGTGGGGCACTGGAGGAAAGGAGAGTGGCCCAGCCAGGGCCATGAAGTGCGACCAAGAGCAGCAACAGCCTGGGGCCCCAGGGACCCAATTCAGAGGTCAGGGGACTTTCTGCTGCACAGGCCGTGGGAAGTGGGAGTCCCGCCCTAGGACATCCTTTCTCTTGCTGAGGCTGAAGCCTCTGGCACCTCTGCATGGGTCTCAGCTCTACCTCCGGGTACACAGACCTGCACCCCTGTGAGAGGCCTGAACACTCCCTTTCTGGGGTGCCTGGTTCCCCTTGATGCCCTCTGGGCCTCACCAGGATCCAGGACAGGAGGCCTCCCAGCAGGACAGATGCATCAAAACCTGCTTTTGACTTTTCCCTAACGTTCTTCTCCGTGGAGAGGTGCAGGTAGATGCTCTCATTCCTCTTTCATGTGTGCGTATTATTTGACCTTCAATAAATTTGAGCTTTATCTGTTACAATGTGACTAATGACACTTGTCTTCTAGGAATGTTGTTAGGTCCAAAAAATAAATAATTCGCAAAACATTGAACCCAACCCCTCCTGGCCACTGTGAGCTCAATAGATGTCACTGTCATTAGTGACACTTAGCAGATATGATCTTTTTTAATCATCACAATAACTTTGAGTGGAAGATGCTGGCCCGGTGCAGATGAGGAAATCCAGACTCCAAGAGGAGAATGGATGCCCTGTGGGTCCCAGAGCTCGAGCGCTGGGAGTGGAACAGTGGGAGTGGGAGGCCTTGTCCATCTTGGGCCTGCTCGGCACCATGGTGGGGCACAGGTGTTCAGTGGTCAGCACACTCACTCCCGCCCGGTGCTGTAGCAGGCGGAGGCTGAGCCCGAGGTGGAGGTGGAGGTGTACCGGCGCGACTCCAAGAAGTTGCCGGGCCTGGGGGACCCCGACATTGACTGGGAGGAGAGCGTGTGCCTGAATCTCATCCTGCAGAAGGTACGAGCACAGTGGGTGGAGTTTGCATGGGTGTGAGGGAAGTGCCCCTTCTGCACACTGACCTGTGCTCTCTTCCAGCTGGACTACATGGTGACCTGTGCAGTGTGCACACGTTCTGATGGAGGTGACATTCACATCCATAAGAAGAAATCCCAGGTGAGCCCTGGTTCGAGAGCCCCAGGCCACCCACCTGCCACGTCAGTCCAGGGTTGCCTGGTGTTTAGGCTGGAAAGACTCCTCCCCCTCCCCGCCCCTCCTCCCTTCCCCTGAGGGGAGAGAGGGTCTGACTGCAGAAGTACCTTCAGTGCCTGGGGTCCTGTGTCCCATGCAAGGAGCATGCAACCAGGTCTTGGCACACAGCTCCTCCAGAGTGGCTCCTTGGTTTTGGACAGGCTCTGAGCAGTGTGGCCATGCCAGCCCGTACTAGAGTGGCCCTGGGCCAGCCCGCGAGGTATGACCTCTCTCAGCCCTTGAAATCTGCTTTCTTTCAGCAAGTGTTTGCATCTCCCAGCAAACACCCCATGGACAGCAAAGGGGAAGAGTCCAAGATGAGTTACCCTAACATCTTCTTCATGATTGACAGCTTTGAGGAGGTGAGTTGCTTGCCCTGGCTGCTCCCCAGCTCTATCCGGGAGGCGCAGGGCGAGGACCTTCTCCCACAGGAGGTGTTGGGCTAGTGGTGGTCCAGAGGCTGGCCAGCGAGGCCTCTCTTGCTGGTGTCTGACTTGGGGCAGGGGAGTTCACCCAGCCTCATCTGTAAAATGAGTGTGAATGTCATTGCGTGTCCTACTTGCCCATGGGGTAGATGATCCAAGGGCCGCTGGGAGGGAGAGCACCTTGCAGACTCACAGTGCGTGCCTCCTGGGCAGGAAGTCTTTGTTGTCTCCCATGACCACAAATGGGCATCTTCATGCCCCACCATCAGGAAATCCTGGTGTGTCAGGCAGGGTTGGGCTTCAGGAGTCACCTGGACCAAGACTGTGTTTAAAGCTGGGAAAACCGGAGCTCACTGGGCACAGGGCACTGGGTGGAGCAGAAGGGAAGCCACTGCTTCTCTCTTGAGGCCCTGGAGTGGTCCTTGTGCTCACCAGGGTTTCCCTGGGAGGACCCACAGGAAGGCAGGCATGTCTTTTGGGGCTTCTGAGCACCTGAGGCACAGGAGCTGACACCCTCCCCACCTCACACAGCAAAGCTGTTGGCATCTGAGTCTCTGGCTTTAAAACTCACATCTGGAGCTGGGGACAGCTCAGTTGGTAGAGTGCTTGCCTTGCATGCACAAGGCCCTGGGTTCAGTCCCCAACCACCCACCCCTCCCCCCCACACACAATCTGTGTGCCAGCCCCAGGGAATAGCAGCTCAGAAAGGCAGCAGGTGGTCATTGTGTCAGTGCTGCTGAGCATTTGACTTGAGCCCAGGGACCAGTTCAGGGCATAGAGGGCCAGGCAGGATGGGGCTGCATAGCTGGCATGGGGAGGTGCCCAGCGGCCAGGCCAACTTGTAACCTGTCTCACTTGCTTGCAGAAGAAGTGTGACGAGGGGCCTGGCCTTCCTGTGGCCCAGCAGGGGCCGCACTGCTGATAACGCCAAGGTTGCGGGTTCGTTCCCCGTACGGGCCACCAAATGCCGCAGTATGGCTGGGCACAATTCAGGAGCCACTTGTCAAAAGAAATGAACTTTATTTTTAGAACACACACACCACACTACCCAGCTCTTCAGGAAAACCCTCAGAGCCCAAGTGCCACCACCCGCTTCCCACAAGCCTCTCAACCTCCCCGACTCCTCCTGCTCTTGAGGCCGATTGGCTGGGTTGCATGGGCGGAGCCAAAAAAAGTCCCCCAATGAGCAGCTCCGTGGTCTGAAAGGGCAGGGAAACAATCCAATGAGCATCACCACAGAGGAGCCAATCAGTTGGCAGCTAGAAGTTTGCTGGGGCCGCTGTGAGCCAACCATCAGCTGGCAGCTGGTGCTGGCAGCTGGAAGTTTGCTGGGGCCCCTTCGGCTGTGGCTCTCAACACCGTACCTCTAGTCCTGGAGTTCCTGCAGTAAGCCCTGCCCAGTGGGAGGCTGATCCAAGGGTCTGGGGGACTGGGTAGAGCTGGGGGTCAGGACGGCTGTCGCCTTCTCCATCAGTGACTTCACGGGCAAACTGGGGCTTTGAAGCAGGCTGTCCCTGCAGGTGGGCCCGGCTGCGGTCCCAGTGGTGGCAGCGGACACTCCATATCCCCCTGTCCTCCTTGTGCCCCCTCAGGTGTTTAGCGACATGACCGTGGGGGAAGGAGAGATGGTGTGTGTGGAGCTGGTGGCCAGTGACAAAACCAACATGTTCCAGGGGGTCATCTTCCAGGGCTCTATCCGCTACGAGGCGCTCAAGAAGGTGTATGACAACCGAGTGAGTGTCCGCCTGGGGTCCCCCATCCCCATCTCCCTGCGTGGCCTCAAGCCTGCCTTTGGGCCATGCCTGTCCCCCAGCACCTGTGGCCCTGGGCCACGCTCAGCTGGCCCCCGCCTGGCCTAGCCTTGCCCTCCGACACAAGGGGGTCTTTCTCTTCTCCCTCCTCACTGTGCCATGAGCCCCTGGCTCTCCCTTGCCTGTTCCTGGGGACAGCCCAGAAGCTGGCCCTGACTGCCAGCCAAGGGTGAGGAGCCCAGGCTGCTCCTGTGTGGCAGGGCTGCTAGAGACTGGAGCCTCTCCCAGCCTGGGAAGGGGTCAGTATTAGGCCTTGTGTGCTGGTGCCCTGTCCTAGCCTGGTACTGCACTGTTGTGGCACAGCTTCCGGGGCAGCGAGAATGGCACCAGGAGACCGGAATACCTCCCCACGCTGCACCTGCCAGGCTGGGGTCTGCCCCTTCCCCCACGGGTAGCCCACAGGGATGGTCACCCTGGCTGCTGTGTCCCTGGGGGAGGCCTGAGGAGCAGTCCCCACCACTCTGGCTCAGGCCACATCCCACCTGCTGCAGGTGAGCGTGGCTGCTCGCATGGCCCAGAAGATGTCATTTGGCTTCTACAAGTACAACAACATGGAGTTTGTGCGCATGAAGGGGCCGCAGGGAAAGGGCCATGCCGAGATGGCAGTCAGCCGTGTGTCCACTGGTGACACGTCCCCCTGCGGGACTGAAGAGGACTCCAGCCCAGCTTCACCCATGCATGAGCGGGTAAGGGCTACACAGCTGGGGGAGGGGCCTCCTGTCCCTCGGATTTGCTTCTCACAGGTCCCCTACCCCATAGTCCCTGGGAGGTAGGTACCATCACTCCCACCCACGAGGAAGCCGAGGCTCAGAGACCTGGGGACCCTGCCCGAGGTCACACAGTAGGCTGGGCCTGGGCCACAGCTCCTTCTGCTTCTCTGAGCTGCCAGTGCAGCCAGGCTGAGTCCCCAGGGGCTGTGGACAGGAGAGTCCGACCAGAAAGCCAGGCCTAGCCCTGGTGCCAGCCCAGCTGGACCTGCTGGGTGAGGTGGCCACATGAAACTGGATGTTGAGTCAGAGGGAGGTGAGGAGGAGCTGGCCTTCCTGCTGCCCACTAGGTGGGCAGAGCACAAGCCCCGGAGCCGCCGGTTCCTCCTGTGGGTAGGGGGCAGGATCCTACCCACAGGCCTGGAACCCAGGTTGCTGCCCAGGTCACACACCTCTTGGGGACACCACTGGGCCCTGGGCACTGTCCGTCCCTAGGGCGGAGAGCTGAGGTCAGCAGTAGCTTCACCCCCAGGGCCAGGTGAGACCAGGCTCTGCCCACTGGCTCCCCTGACCTGCTGGGTCTCCAGAGCGAGGGCCACTCGGAGCTGCGGGCCCTGGAGGAGGCGGCATTTTGTGCACTGGCCCAGGCGCAGCCTGCCCAGCCCTGTCCGAAGACGCTGTGTGCTTGGGACCGTGGTGTGTCTGCCTCTTCCGCTCCAACCTCAGCGCTCTCCTTCAGACACCTGCCTCCAGGTGTGAGGGAGCCTGTGGCCCTCTGGCTGCTGGGGTGCTGGGCTGTGGCCTCAGGTGTGCGAGTCACGGCCCGGGAGCCTGAGGCGAGGGAGCAGAGGGAGCACTGCCTGTGCTTTGATTCTGTAAGAAGGTCTGAGCCTCGATCGTCTCCAGGGCTCAGGGCCAGCTTCTCTCCCCTCACAAGCTTTTCCGTGCTCCCATCGGTGTGTGTGTGAGACAGACAGATGCTGCTACTCAGGAAGATGGTGGAGTTCCAGGTGGCCTCTTGTCCCAGGAACGGAGGCCGTTCATATTTCTGAGATAAGGGGTCTGCTTTTTCCTGGCCCTAGACTGCCCACTGGGACTCTGAAAAGATGGGTGTAGCGTTCGTGTGGAGTTGTGGCTGGGTGCTGAGTGGCCACAGACGTGTCACCAGGCCTGCCCCAACCTCGATTCCCCAGGTAGTGTGGCTGTGAGGGGTGAGGCAGCCCCAGACCCTGGTAGCAGGAGGCCCTGGGCGCTGGGGTCACATGGGCCAGCAGCCAGGCCTGAGCTCTGGGGACCCTGCTCTTTGCTGCCTGTCACATGTCCTCTTATACCCAGAGGCCACCTGTAACCAGCGCGGATCACAAATGCAGACTGTGTGTATTGTAGCTTCTGGTGTTTGTTTTTTTTATCTTCTAAACCTTCCCGGCTTGTGGGAGGACCGTCTGGAGCCCAGCAGCCGCGGGACTTTGGTGGATGTCGGAGCTGTGACGAGGAGCCGATGGGGCTCTCGAAGCCTCAGTCCCAGCTCATCTTGCCGCCCTGATTCTTGTTTGCGTGGGGAGGAGGGAGGAGATGGGCCAAGTTCCCTCTGCCTGGAACGCCCTTCCCCCCCTTCTTCACCTGGCGAACTCCTACTCGTCCTTCAAGACCCAGCTGAAGCGCACCTCCTCCAAGAAGCCTACCCCGATTCCCCAGGCTGCCAGTCCCTTCTGCCTCTGTGCTCCTGTGTCCTGTGCTTCCCGTTCTCTGTCTCAGTGGCCAGCATGCTGTCTGTGGTTGTCACTCTCTGAGTCTGGCACCCCCAACAGACTGTGAGCTCCTTGAGGGCAGGGACCTCTGTCTGTACCTGTGTGTGCCAGCCTAGCCTCAGCGGCTGTGGACGTCAGGAGAATGGGACCAGTGTGCTCTGGCGGGAGGAGTGGAGATGAGCTATATAGTGCTTCTCAGGAAAGGGACTGGGAGTCAGAGGGGTGGGGCCTCACAGCGGGAGGACACTAGGGGATGACCTGGACTGCGGTCCTGTTTGCCGTCAGGCCTCTGGCTGACTTAGGCAAGTCAAGGCCGCTGTCTCGACTTCCTTTCCTGATGGTCAGATGGGCTAGCGCCAGCCCCTGGCCTATAGTCAAGGCTCCAGGGGGCGGGGCGGGGCTCGGGCTTGATCCATGGTTGCACCTGTCACCCTCCCTGGGTGGAGGCCAGGAAGAGGCACCCTGCATCCTTCCCGGTGGCAGTGGGCTTCCTCCTTGGAGGGCACTGCAGCCAGGCATCCTGCCCTTGCCCGGGTGGCTGCACTCGAGCCAGAGCCAGCAGCCGCAGCCCAGTGGCCGCTCCCCTGGGGCTCAGAGCTGGGCTGTTTGGGGGACAGGATGTGAGCGGCCCCGGGGCCCTCAGACCGCGGCTACTCTTGCTGCTCCAGTGACTCGGGCTCCTTGTTCCCAGGTGACCTCCTTCAGCACCCCCCCGACCCCGGAGCGGAACAACCGGCCTGCCTTCTTCTCCCCATCCCTCAAGAGGAAGGTGCCCCGGAACCGGATCGCCGAGATGAAGAAGTCTCACTCCGCCAATGACAGTGAGGAGTTTTTCCGGGAGGACGATGGTGGAGGTGAGCCTGGCCCCGAGGCTCGGCGGCTGCACCGTGCGGGCGCTGGCCGGGGTCTGGGAGTGCCGCGCAGATAGCCGCGTGCCACCTGGGTTGGGGCAGCCGCTGCACACAGCCAGCGGGCACTCAGCTAGGCCTGGCTCTGGTCCTGTTCACTCCTGTGCTGTCATGGCCAGCGGGCCTCACGCTGGGACCTTCCGTGGTGGGTGTGTCTCAGGGTTGCCCCCATCTCTGCTCAACGCCCTGTTCTCCAGGGGCAGAATCATGACTTGCAGGACCCCTCAGGCTCCCGCCCACAGCCTCCAGGGCATCTCTGCCCAGTGTCCAGAGGCCCCAGGTCCCTCAGCCGACTGTGCCTCTCACACACCAGCCCCTTCTCCGTGTCTTCTCAGTGATTACTGCTGCCAGCCAGCTGTGCAGCCAGACAGCAGGGGTCCTCTTCTATCCCTGGTCAGGGAGGCCACCGGAGGGCTTAGAAGTGGACTTCCAGCACGGGGAGGGAAGTCCTGGCGTACTCTGCTGGTGAGGGCTGAGTGTCCCTCAAGGACCAGGCCAGTGGGTGTGTGCCAGCCCATGTCATATCGTGTGAGAGCAGAAGTTCCAAGAGCACCGTCCCACGGGGGCCCCAAGGGAGCAGGTGGCAGCACTGATGGGGCTTGGAAGCTGTCCTTGTCCTGACCCTAACCCAGGGCCATGACCTTGACCTGCTTGGACAAGCCTCCCCTCCGCTGGCTTCTTCCCAGCTCAATGGGAAGTGCCCGCAGCACCTGCTCTGCCTGCAGGGGCAGCTCTCCTGCTGGGCCCAGAGCGCTGTGTCCTGCTGCCCCGGGGCCTGCAGCTGGCAGGGCCTAGTTCGAGGGTCAGACAGGGCACAGGGAAGCAGCAACCTTCAAGGAGACTCAGCTAGATACCGAGAAGGGGAGGCTGGGAGAAGCCAGGGAAGTCTCCCTGGAGGCAGAGGGTGGGAGGAGGGGCTGGAAGGTGAGGAGACAGCAGCTCTGGGGTGCATGGGTGCTGTGGGGGCCGTCAGGAGTGCCCAGGACACAGCCGAGGGGGTCCTGGCCTGGACTGGGGATTTGCTCCTGCAGCTCCTGCCGAGTCCCCACTGCTGGGACCCTGATCTGGCTTTCTGACCTCCAGCCGACCTGCACAATGCAACGAATCTGCGGTCCCGGTCCCTGTCTGGCACGGGACGGTCCCTGGTCGGGTCCTGGCTGAAACTGAACAGAGCCGATGGGAACTTCCTTCTCTATGCACACTTGACATACGTCACTTTGCCGCTGCATCGAATCTTAACAGGTGAGGTGGGGGGGCGGGGGCAGAGCCCCTTCTCCGCACTTGCCCAGACCCAGGGTCCTGTGGCTCGGGGCCGTCTCCCCGCACTGCTCACCCCTGCAGGGTCGGGCCTCCTGCTCCAGGCTTCAGGTGGGCTGCAGCTGACCCCAAACCAGGGTGCCCCTTTGCACACCTGCCTGCACTTCTTGCTGTCCCTCTTGAGTGGCTGCAGTCCTGGGTGTCATGTGGGCGGGGTTTGGCTCTTGGCCTGCAGCCTCAAGGGGAGCCCTGGAGTGTGCTGCTCCTTCCTCGCCCTTTCCAGGCTCTGCAGCTGCTCTGGGCACCTTTCCGCAGGGCAGGTGACGGTGTGTGGCCACTGTGGGCTCCTGCTAGGGCCCGTTGTGGCCAGGCATGGTGGTCGAGTGTCCCTGACCCCCCTGCCCCTCCCTGCTGGCCCTAGACATCCTGGAAGTCCGGCAGAAGCCCATCCTGATGACCTAGAGTGCGTGCGGCCCTCTCGGAGCCCCGGCCCTGCTCAGCCCTGGGACTGCTGCCAAGTGCCTACCTGTCACCGCCACGGGGTCTTCTGTGACAAGCCAGTGCTGGAGCCACAGCCAGGCGGGGCCACTCGACTCCCGGGGCCAGGGCCGACTCTAGAACACCAGCCCAAACTGAAGTGCCTCGAACTCCTCCCTCTGGCTCTGCTCCCGCCCTGTGCCGCCACTCGCCACCCCAGCCCGCCTCTGGAGGGCCCTCTGCATCCAGAGGCCAGAGACACCAAGAGGCCATAGGATAGCCAGCGTCCCGAATGTGCCAGACCCACTGACCTGGCTCACAGCTGACAGAGCCGGACCCACCCCGGGCGCTCCGTGGTCAGACTGTGTGTCCTTAGGGAAGCCCAGCTGAGGATTTTGCAAAGGGGTCCCGACACACCTGGGCCTCCAGCTAGTCCAGCTCAGCCTCCCCTAGTCACTGCTGTCACAATAGGTTACTGCAGGAAGACGGGGAAGATGGGAACTTGCTATTGGACGCTTTGCCCTGGGCTGGAGCACCTCACTCACACCCAGTTCCAGAACAGCCTGAGCCAAGCAGATCGCCCTGATTCCGCCAGAATGGCCTTTCGCTTCCAGCCAAAGAACACCACCAACACACAACCTCCGACCCGGACGCGTCCTGTTCTGGGCCTCGGCTGGAGGGTCCCCTGGAATTTGGATTCTTTGGGCAGGTGGGAGGGCTTGGTGGTCAGTGTCTGATGTGGGCTGGGGTTGGCCTCCCCTCAGGAAGGTTCTAGGCCTACCCGCCGTCCTGAGGCCGGAGGGGGCTGGGCATCATTTCCTGTCCTTGGTGGTCTTTGGCTAGTGTGCTGGCCCCTCTTCTCAGACCAGCTCCCTGGGCAAAGAGTGGGGCTCAGCTGGGTGTGCACGGCAGGTGCAGCGGTCAGTGTGTGGGCTGCCAGCCTGGCCTTGCCCTAGCGCGAAGGAGCCGCATCTGGTGACGCGCAGTGTGCTCTCGTGAGCAGAGGCCTCCCCCACCCAACAGGGAATAAACTGGAAGCTGGGTCTCTTTGTTGCTGTTTTGAAGTCCCCCATACTGGAGGGCACCAGTCGTTTAAGACCCTCTGCAGGCCGCAGAGGCAGACGGGAGCATGTCTTCCTGCCTCTGCGTTCTGCGGGCTCCGGGAATGGGGCACCACTTCGGGGCTTTCTCCAGATTTTGTATGTTGTTATTAAAAGCGAGCTGTTGCATTTCACCCTGCCTCCGTCTGCCCGCTGTGACCGGGGCCGGTTCCACCTACCTCACTCCATCTCCAGGGTTCAGTGCACCACGGGTCAGGGCGCCGTCAGTCCTTCTGCATGGTGTGGGTTGGTCATTGGGCGGCTGCTCTAGAGGCTCGCCACCTCTCCCCCTTTGTAATGACCTGTGTCAATGTGGACCTCCAGCAGCGTCCGGCCCAGGCTGGAGCTGCAGCTCAGCTCTGATGGTTGCGCCTAGGGCAGCAGGGTCAGGCCAGGCCCCAGAGTGCCTGCGCAGAGCCCTGTCCAGCACGCTCTTCTCCAGGGGTGCCTGACGCCGCTCCCGTCTGTGTCCAGGATGGCCAAAATACACCTCCTGCCTCCAGAACTTTCTCCCTGCTCATTCTGGGCTGTGGACTTGTGGACTGGGTCTCGGAGAAGTAAAGCCCTGATGTGTCTTCCATGGAAGGACAAGGCAGTCCAGGGCGGCAGCAGGTAGTGGGTCCCCACTGTACGGTGGGGTAGCTGTGAGGAGCTGCTGAAGGCACGTGGGAAAGTGCTTGCGATTTAGGTCACACCCGTGAGTGTAAGGCGCGTGAACAGGGCACGCGGTGGCGTGGAGCGCTAAACCCAACACTTAGGTTGGATTGTTGTTCCCATCTTAGGCGAGGAGGCAGCTGGAGGGGCTCAGAGCCCTGCCAGCACTGCGCCACAAGCAGTGGTGACAGTCGAGCTGGGCTTCAGCTGCAGCGTGGCCCACAGCGCGCTGCCCGGGACACGCAGGCACTCTGTCCTCAACCCGGAAGCCCTTCTCCAACACGCTCAGGGGCACTTGACAGCCAGACTTGAGCTGTCACTCCAAGTCAGGCTTTTTTCAGAATAATGAATTTTATCAGTGAAAAAGTGACAAATGCTGGCTGGAACCAGAGCCCAACAGCCCCATGTGGCACGCTCTTGCTTCTTGAAGGCCATCTTTAGCTTTTCTGGGAACGCCCGTCTCCTGAAGAGTAGAGGGTGACGGAAGCAAGCATACAGGTCCCGACTGGGGATCGGGAAGCTTTCCTTTGAGGAAACTTAGGTGTCAGTTTTTAGGACATTGAGAAAACTGAGGGTTTTCTTTTTTAAGTGTCCAGCTCCTGCACTCTGACGGGGCTGTGAGCCTCCATCCCACCCTCCGGCAGCTCTTGAAAGAACAGGTGGAGCAGCTCTGCCTTCTGAGGTCTTACTGGAACTTCTAGGTGCCTGCAAAGAGGCCAGGCTCACTTTTTCAAAAGAATATTATTTAAAACACAACTTAGCAGGGAAGTGGTCAAAAGAGGACAAAAAGCAAGCACTCCCCAGCCCACAGCATGGCGGGAGGGTGGCGTCTGGCACTCGTGTCAGGAATCAGGTTTCCGTGCAGCCCTGAGACCAGGAGGGTGTGCTCCTCCTGTGGCTTCTCTCAAAAAATCCAGCTAGAAAGAAATGGGATATTTTCCCTGTTTACTCACAAGTACATTAGTTAGTAGGAGACTTTAGAAGGCATTTCCATCCCTGATCCTAGTGACGGAAAATACATGTAACAGTGTCGTTCCTGGTAGATTTAAATCATTGGCCAAAATTCTTTAGAGGCCTTTTTTTAGATATCTGCCAACTTGATATTGAACTTGGTGGGTTTCACCCAGAAATGTTTGCAGATTTCCAGGTTAACTGGAATTTCACATCCAGCCTCAAAAACCAGATCCCTTGACCTCTCCCTGTCAGGCTGGGTCTTGTCTTTGTACTGGGAAGCAAATTACTTCTCAATAAAACCATCCTAACAGGACAAGGACTGAATGAAGGGAGTCTTTGGAGGGCTGGGCAGCAGCCCCTGCTGGAGAGCTGCTCCAAGTACCACCCTGTGCTCTGCAGAGGCCGCTGGGAGCTGGGGTACCCCCCAGACCTGCTTTTCGTACTTTGCTTTTCACTGACTAGATACTAAATGAGCCTCCGTGGAAACAGAACCCACCAGCCCTCTCTCTGAGCCCACTTGGCCGCCACGCAAACCAGACCACTGGACACCTGTAGCTGGGGCTGGGTGGAGCTCTGTCTGCAGCAGGTGGAGCCCGGAGTGGAGCAGCAGGATCACGGGGAGCTTAGTTTACAGCTTCCGATCATATTCCCAAGGCCATCAGGTCTTCTATTAGGATTCCGGACCATGGCCTCGGTCAGTCAAAAGCAGCAGCGATCCTCCGGCTCTGCTGAGCAGCTGGAAGCGTTGTCTGTTAGACCCTCTTTTGACTTCAGTCCTCCACTTTGCAGGTCAGAAAGTTTGTAAATGGGAATTTCTTATGGTTTCCAAACTAATTCTATGTTTGAGAGTGGTTAAATCTGCAAAGAAAATGTTGAGGGTTTTTTGCCACTTTGAGGCATAACTCATGGTTTTTACAAAATATATTTTAGCAAAAACATCATGCTGGCACACAGTGGGCACACTGGCATGCTGATTGTCCGTGGTGTTTCCATAAAGGTCCCGGCTAATTGATGAGCCATCTTCCGCCTCCAGCAGAAGTCATCTCTAGGCAGGATTTGCAGTTCCGTCAGCTTTGCTGTATGATTTCCTGTTTCTTTGGAAAGTTGCTTTGCATATTAAAGTTATTTTCTCCTGGTTTCCTCTGATCTGTACGTACCTAGTTATTTTTTCTGTTGTGCTCAGTTCAGGCTATTGCAGATGTTAGAGCAAAGTGATAGCTTAATGATGGAAACTTGGTTTGCCCCAGAGCCCTGCAGTGGCTTTGGGGGCTTTCACAGGCACTTCTTTGGAATGGGATGTGCTGGAGTCCTGCAGAAGGCCCCAGGGTGCTCTGTCTATGTTCGTGCTAGCCATCCCGGAGTCTGTGACCAGAGGTGCCATGTTTACAAAGGTAAATCCCGAAACATGTTTCAGGCACAGCTCCCCGCCCTCAGAGTGGTTCACACCCCCACGGTCGTGCTGTGGAACTTCCCAACTCCTCGCAAATGTGGGCCAATGCCTGGAACAGAAGCTGGGGCTGGCTTTGGTTTGGGCATGCTCCCAGTAAGAGGTTTGGGAACAGGTGCTCTCCCTGCCTGGCACCCCACAGAACGCACCCTGCTGGGCGTGCTCACGGGGGTTCTTTGATCCTCCCAGAGGCTGCTTTTGTGTTCATCACAGGCAGAAAGCCTCAGAACCACCTTCCAGGGAATGTTTTTTTTTTAATTAGGATGAACAACTTGCTGCAGAGTGTTGGGTGTGAGTAAGGCCCAAGAGACTGAAGAGCTACAGAATGGAGACACATTTAGGAATGCAGGGGGTCTAGCCCTCTGCCTTGGAAACACCAGATTGAAAATTTCTTGACCTGGCATCTCCAAGGGCACACTGAAAAGTGGAAGCAGGAGGGAGGTAGATCAGAAGGGGGACAAGACTTCCTTGTGGTCTGAAGCAAATCCTGTTTCTGTTAAATAACCAGGAAGTCCCTTCAAAACAGTCACCACCTGGCCTGTAACTACGGATTGGTAGTCTGAGCTGAGGCCACGCCCAAACCTAGAGAAAATGCTCCCTGGAAAGGGAACTGGTACTGGGAAGAGAGAAATGAAAACTGGGCCACCCACCCACGCACCCACGCACGACGGCTCAGGAATGTCTGGGGTAGCTGTGCAGACCGGCTGTGCTCTTGAGCTTGGTGTTAACATGACCAACAGCTGGAAAATCTGGAGGACCAGGGAGGTGCCTGTTTGTAGGGGGCCAAGTTGTCTTTCCTTCACAGCGTCACTGACCTCCTCCTGCCTCAGCCTCTGCCTGAGTGACGGGTAAGATTTTTCTTTTATGATGTGGATGAAGGGTCTTTCATCTTGGAATGTGACTTAATAAAACAATTAGGTTGCTCAGTTTGAAATAATTTTGATTATATTTTGAATAAACAACTTTGCTCAAAAGACTTTAGCTAATTCCAGAAACCCATTTAGTCATTTAATGGGCATGCACATAGGTTCAAGGGCAGGCTGGAGGGAGCCGCGGGGACCCACACCAGGACACGTCACAGTACCTAGGCTGGTCATCTAAAGATAGGGCAAGGGTTTCCTCAAAGGGAACGTGGCCTACCACTTGCCTCCCAGGACAGTGATGCAGGCCAGAGAAGGCCGTGTACCAGTAACTGCTGGCCCTGATGATTACTGCTGGTTCCTCCAGAGCATGCCAAGAGGCACTGCATGGTCCCTCGCGTCTGAGCAGGAGTCTCAGGGAGTGAGTGTGCGTGTGTGTGGTCCTCAAGCTCGACTTCACGTTGGGTTCAGCTGTTCAAACCTAATGGCTGATTATGACAATACTTTGAAAGTAGTGACAGTGGTTGTGCCACTCTGAATGAACTAAAAGCCACATCGAATACTTAAAAGTGTGATTTTATTGTGAATTACACCCAATTTAGGTGATGATTGGGCGGGTCTCGCCCGAGATTCTGGTTCTGTAAGCCTGGGCTGGGGCCCAAAGGTCTCCATTTCCAGCAAGCTCCCAGATGCTGCGGGCCCAGGGCCACACCTGGAAACCCTGTGGTAGGCAGGCCAGGCGGCTAAGCACCTCCTGCAGGGCTGGGGAGCTGGGCACAACCCGCTCTTCAGCCAGCACCTTTGGTGCCACTCAGTCGCTCCCTTCAGACGTCAGGAGTTCAGGAAAAACACCTTGATAGATCAACTCTCTTCAATATGTATTTTTCAAACAAGGAAACACCTTCCAAATCAAATAAATACTTAATTACTTAGGAGACTTCAAGAGTATAAACACAATTCCAGAGTACTACTGATTATGGAATTTAATCTTTTTTTTTCCCTAAATCACCCCGTATTTTAAGTGACATAAATTCGCAATGTTTGCCTTGATCCTTTTTGTTTCTGCAGTGCTGGGGACTGAGCCCAGGGCCTTCTGCATGATAGGCAGGCGCCCTGCCACTGAGCAACGCCCCAGCCCAGGTTTCCTTTTTAAGGAGAAACGAGAGTTTGCACTGAGGATGGACCAGGAGAAGCCATGACCATGGCACCACATCCACGTGCCAGCCAGTCAAGGACCTACTCCCATTCTGTTTTTAAAGCAATCCAACATAGCCCAAGGCCTGAGCGACCTGGGGTGGCCTCGTCCCACCCACAGGAGTCTGATACATACACAGATCTCTAGATTAAGCACATGTCCCTGGTCATGCTGCCTGGGAGGCTCCTGCAGCTCCTCATTCTCTCCCTTCCATTCTACCTGAGTATCCATGCCAAGTGTACCAGAGAGCAACATAAAGTGTCAAACGCAGTGGCTTTTGTTTACTTCCCATTTATTCACATTTCATGGATTAACACTCCCTCAACGGGGTCACTCAAAACTAATACAAACTGAGATTATGTTTAACAATTCAAGTATTTGTCTTAGAAAACAATTTCCTATTTAAAGTAAAAACAACACTTTATCCATTTGATTGCTAAGAAGTTTTACATCTCCCTTAGAGTGGTGTCCGCATCAAATGGAGAGTCCTTAGACCTTACCATGATGGCCTCCGGCTAGGAACACACAGAGCCTGTGCTCAGTGCACGGTTGGAAGAACCAAAGACCAGTCTCGACAGGCTGCTGCCCTCTACGGGCTACAGGACAAGCCGTGTTTCCAGGATGAGAAGACCCGGGTGCGAGGACGCTAGAGTCCACAGAGCCTTCTAACCCATCACACCTGCACTGCGACTCCACAGAGATGCCAAGGACAGCAGACCCGTCAACTCGACAGCACACTGAAAGGCTCTCTGTGAACACCTGTTCTGAGTTCTAGTGCTAAGGTGGAATATTTTCTCTCCAAGAACAGGCATTATTATTATTATTTTTTTTGGCATGCAGCATAGAATATGATTTATAATTGAAACTGTAAAACATAGTTCTCTTCAAGAAAATCAGTCCACAGTCAGACTTGGCCTCCCATGTAAAACACTAAAGTCCTTTTAAAACCAACGTTTCCAGTGTGATTCTAGTAAGGCGGGCGGCATAACACTCAGCCTTCTGCTTACTGGGAATGGCAAGGACCCATCAGTTTTTTGGGAAAAAAAGGCCACGGGATACTTAGCACAAAGTAAAAAGCAAACAGTTTATCCATTTGATTGCTAAGAAGTTTTGCATCTCCCTTAGAGTGCTGTCCGCATCAAGTGGAGAGTCCTTAGTCCTTACATGATGGCCACTCTCAGCGCAGGATGGGGAGAGAAGACGCTGACAGGCTGCGCCCTCTACAGGTTTCGCTGCAGAACAAGCCAGAACAAGTTTCCCTAGAGCTCCCACTTCCAGAATGAGATCAGGATGAAATCTGACTTAGAATTAAAAATTCCGTGTGACCAGTGCGCACGCACACAAGCCCCGCTTCAGGTCTCGTACACGAGATACAAGTTATGGATTTTCAAACTAAAGATGGAAATTTTCAGTCCATATTGAACATTCCAAAGTCTAACTTCTAACATTTTGTTAAAATATATCAGACTAAAATAACCCACAGGCTAGAATTAGTTATTAACACAGTAGAGAAAAACTGGGTAAGCCCTCCAGGGGCCCCTAACCCCAAGCAATATATAAGGTGTTGGATTTTATCATAAAATACACTCATACTCAGGTTCATTTATATGAATACACTAAGTGGGTCCAACAAGATCCTAAAGCATAAAAATTTTCAAGAAAATATCACATTTTGAGTCGAAGCATCATTTTCCCCTGTAATTCTCACTTTAATAGTGATAGTCTCAGCAGCAAAAATTTGCTGGGAATGTTAGGACAAAAGAAAGCCACACACATCCACTAATTTAAAAACAAACCTGGCTTCAGGAAGGAGGTTAGAAGGTGACACGAGCTTTCATGCTGCTTTTGTAAACACCTATGACACATGCAGACGTGGGCCACATACGCCCCCCACGCCCCAGGACATGCTATGCTCCTCTGCGGCCTGAGAGTGAGTATGTGGGATGGTGCCAAGGCAGCAGGTGAGGCTGAGTGGTCACATCCTGAAATTTGTCCCCCTATTTACCCTTCATTTTTCAGAAAGTTAATATGAATAGGGCAGGGCAGTGTCATTCTAACAGTTATCAACCACTTGCTTACCATAAATCATCTTTAATAAAAACTCTTGAGCATTCTCAATTCTAAAGGTAAATGCAAACCTACCTGCCGCCTCCCCAGGCCTCACAACAACAGAGTAAAAGTTGAGCCACATCCCTAACAGCACAACTCTCTGCACGTATTTATTCAGAGCCACACTCTAGGCCAAATTCTCCCACTGAAATGAGAAAACTGCTCGGTCACAGGCAACACAAAATCTCACCATCTCTCACCTCAAGGGCTCCAGAGCAAGCTACCCCGTGCAGAGCGCTCCACACACCACACCCGAAGACTGCAGTTTCTAAAAGCACCCAGACCACCCACAAGTATTCTGATTCCTGTTTCCTAAGTCAGGCACATTACATACTGAAGATGAGGATTTTCAAGTGGGCAGTGACCCTGAGCCCTGAGACAGCACCAGCTGGCACTAGCACTTTCATTTTTAATTCACAAGGAATCAAAGTGGGAATTTAGACATTAAATCTTGCATGTAATTCACGTGCCCAGTCTTCAAAGCAAGCTAGTGCTACCTGACAGCTCTGGAGAAGTGACTTGATATTCCTGGGCACAACCATGGCTCCAAATGGACACACTGAGTATTTTATTCTTAAAAAAACAAACAAACAAACAAAAAACTTCAGATAATAGGTGTATAAATATACCGCTGTCTAAAGTTAAAGGCAAACTTCACACACAGTTTCCTTCTCCACTACCTTAAGTTCATGTTTCCTAGTGAATTCAAACTCCTCTTACGTAAATTTTTTAGATCTATGGGGCTCATTTAAGGTACAAGTGACTATGAACACATTTTTCTTTTCCAGTGCAGTCTGACTTCACTTTTTTTCTTAAGGGTTTGATGTCCATGGTCATTTCTAGAAATGATAAGCTACCAAATTTGTGCTTTTAAACCCCATTCCTGGCAATAATCCCCTTCTATCTTAATTGTCTCTGGGGAATAAACAAATAATAGCACCTCATGAATAAAAACTACAAAACCAGATATTCAAAACCCAAGAACTCCTTGTCGAGCAACCTGCTTCCTTTTAAAATGAAAATGCAGTTCCTGAATTACAGTAAAGCAGCCCACAGGGTTAAAGGCCAATGTCTGCAAATCATAAGTTGACGATGTACACCCACAGTGAACGGAGAGTGCCCACACTGCAGTTTGAAAACGGAACATACAACAGAGCAGAACACAACGTCGGTCACAGCATGGCGGCTGGTTCATTTGGTAGAGTGCTGGTCTCACACATCCGTTGCGCCCACGCGTAAGAACCACACCAGCAGGTTTCTTCCTGGATGCCGCATCCGCCGTCAGGAAGCCTTGCCAGTGCTGGTATCGACCCGAAACCCCATGGATCAGAAAAGCCTTTGGGAAAGCTAATCCAAACCCTGACTGCGGTCCATTAAGAAATCACTAACAGTTTAATAAACAAATGAACATTTAAAAAACTTCCAAAAAATTTCATTCGAATGTATTTTGCACAGTTGTCAGTCTTGGAAGAAAGGAGAATACAGTTCCTTGACATTGAAATAAAACATTGAAAGGTTTTATTGGCCTTAATCTTCCCCACAACAGTTTTAAGTTATCTAGAAGTCCTTAGAAGGTCAAAGAAAAGAAAAACTAAGTTTAAAGGGAGGTGGGGGAGCAGCAACTTGGCAATGCTTCCTCCGACTTCACCTTCAGGCGCCCTTTTTCTCCAGTAAAATCCTGTGCAACTCGTCTGCATCTTCGCTAGTTTTCACCCGAATCAACATGGTGGCAGGGACGGTGGCACTCTTCTCATCAAGTGGTGGGTTTGGAATGCAGACAATGAGTACATTGTTTTTCCCTGTTCGGGTACATGGCATATTGGGTGGAATCAAAACATTCAATAGTATGTTGCCTGCATTAAAACAAAGGAAAATATACATCAAAATCATATCAACTAGAGCTCCACGGAAGGAGTCCACAGCTCGATGAGCACGAAACCCTGAAGCAGCTCAGACTCAATGGATCCCAAACCGGGAGCCATTAAGAATGCGCACTGGCTCCCTCACAGGTACTAGCACTGTCCTGGACAGAGTGCTGGGAGGTCTCTGGTGGCCCTGCCCAACGCTCCCACTCACACACCCACATGACTCAGCTCCGAGAGGACTGGAGGAAGAGCTAGCTAGTACGACCCACAAACAAGAACATCATCTCAGAGATGATGCTTTACTGTAATTCAGAGACCAGCACAACTTACTGGGCAATGGTGACATTATGGTGTCGTTATTATAAATTACTCAAGCCCTGGGAAGGAAAAAACGCTTCCTAGAAGTTTCTCTGTGTGACACGGCTTGTAGCCACAGATCTAGCGATCCTGCCATTCATCTCAGGCCCTGCCACTCCCATCTGCTGAGCACTGCTCTCCTTCCAGCAGTTTCCAGGGAAAAACGGAGGCTGGCGGACAGTGTGGGCAGCAGTGGGCTCTGATGCTTTCATCTATACAAGGCCTCCTCGGGATGGCCCGTTTCCTGAACTGCCCAGCTTCTCTCTAGCCTCAGTCACACTTCTAACAAAGCAAATGAAATGATTTCCTTTCTCGTTAGTTTGAAACATGTCTACATTTCCTTACACACTGTTTCCCTATTATTCAAAACTAAGTCTTTAATGAATAAATACAGCATGACTTGGCCTGAATGATCTCTTCCATTCCAAAAACACATCAATAAACCCCCAAATCTCAAGGACTAAAATCAGGGAGGAACAAGGCTGAAAAAAAATCCTCACCTAAATTGGTATCGGCCCGTACTAAGAGCTGTGTCTTCTGACTTGCTGTAGGCTTTAAGTGCAGGGTCCCCACACCCTTCTCTTTAAATTCATTGTCTTTCTTGTAAAATAGTTTACACCTATGGAAAAAGATAACAGGTATAGTCAGGTATTCAGTGACAAGTCACAGTTTTTTCTAACAATCACGGTTGTGGAAAAATCTATATTAAATGAAAGCAGAGAATAATTTTATTGATCCAGATCAACTAGGTCTGGATAAAAATCAGAAAAAGAAAATCTACTTAGCCTTCTAGAATCCCTCCCCATTTTTTCCAATTGAATAGTGGGTCCCCTAAAAATTTCTGTGTTTTCAAATGCTGAGGACTGAACCTAGGGCCGTGTATATGGCAGGCAGGCAGGCACTGTACCACTGAGCCACACCCCTAGACCGCCATAAAAATTTTAATAACTCTTGCTAAAACCATCTTTTCTCAAGTCAGTCAAAATCATACTTAGACACCCCATGGCTCCTTGATCTGCACCTCTGGCTCTGAGCTCAAGAGCTGATCTGGTCCTTTAAGTACAAACAATCTGTCCTTCATCGCCCCCACCCTATCTTTTCCTTTATCTCTTATTTTAGAAATTTTCTTTCAGGCTCCTTCAATTTTATCTCCCAAGATGCTGAGGTAAATCTCAAGTAGGCTCAACAATACAGTAATGATATTTCATCCTAGCCTCCCATGTCATTTGGTTATTAACACAACAAAACTACTGTCCGCTCATTTGATTTATTCTTAGGAAAAAATCTTTAAAAAGTCAGGGTCACTCTTGCAATTAAAACTAAAAATAAGCTGGGTGGCACACACCTATAATCTCAGCAGCTTGGGAGACTGAGGCAGAAGGATCACAAGTTCATAGCCAGCCTCAGCAACGCCGGGCACAGTGGTGCATGTCTATAATCCCAGTGGCTCAGGAGGCTGAGGCAGGAGGATCTCAAGTTCAAAGCAGCCTCAGCAAACATGAGGTGCTAAACAACTCAGTGAGACCCTGTCTTTAAAAAGAATAGAAAATAGGGCTGGGGGTGTGGCTCAGTGGTCAAGTGCCTCTGAGCTCAATCTCCAGTACCCAACCTGCCCTTGCCAAAAAAAAAACCTTAAAAATAAGCAAAGGTAATTGTTGGTCCCTTAAAAATTCTTGAAAATAACACTTAAGAATCTCAGAGGATATGATGATTTGTTAAATGGAAAACTATGGATTCGTTATTAATTTTTTCTTATTAAAAACTGTACATTATAAATGAAATGGTAAATATCTTTTAGGAAATATCTCTGCAAGCAATAATCTCATTTAATCAAGAGGAAGAAAAATTTGAATTTCCCTTCAGCTGAAAGAGGCAGCTCATTTAAAAACAAAGCAATCCTCCCCTCCCCAACCCCAAGTAATAGCCTCGTTACCAGAGGAGGCCAAAGTTCTCGCAACCCTTAACAGAAGGGGGTGGCGGGTCACTGTGCCCAACTCTTGTCTGTAAGAAAATCCAGAAAGATCAGGTCTCCAGGAAGGGGTCAGGGACGCTTCCAGATAAGGAGCAGAAGCAAAACCAAACCAACTTTCTTCACGATGAAAGCAGAAGGGAAGAGAAGGAAGGAAGAAAAGGGGCAGAAGTCTGTCTCTAAAGCATGGACAGAGGTGCTCAGCAGGAAATCTCCAGACCTGGCCTGTTTAAAATAGCAGGCCAAGGGTTCTCCCTGTTCTGGTTCAGAGTTGCCCAGTGTGAGCTCAGGCCTCGATGAGGACACGCTGACCCACAGCCCCGGGACTCCCACGCCAGCTCCCAGGGTCATCTCGTACTTGGTGGAGTAGAAAGCGTCTTCTTCCTTCACTTCAGTGACCACCACCTTGGGAGGCTCATCACTCTCCTCTTCGTCTCCACCTTACAAAAAATGACAGCTCAGTCAAGCTTAACTCAGGACTGCAAAAGCAGCAGGAGCTTGCTCCTGACCATCTAGGTCTCAACCCTGAATACCCCATGCAAGCCAACATGAAGACTGAACACATACCGTTTTTCATTTTGTTTTTGGAGGGGGGAGGCCACTGCTGAATTTTAATTATTGTGTAAAAAATAATAGTTTTTAATGAGAACATATTTCTCTATTCTAAAGTAACTGCTAATATGTAGAAAGTCCTAGAACAAATCCATGCTTACGACATGCATAGAAAATTAACCTGTCAATATTCAATTATTTATATTCAGGTTATCTGCTGGAGAACTAAAATCTCAGAGGATCCTCTAATGCCTTCATCTCCAAATGCTCTTGTGACTGGATCCACAGCATGCCGAGATATAGCAATGTCAGCAATGCCAATGATAGGAAAAGTAAAATTTTTTAAAGAGGAAGTTTGTCAGAGAAATTGCTCCAAAGCCAAGTGTAAGTAAGTTTGCCTTTGTCTGAATGGCCACAGGGCTCACTGCTCTGCTCCTACAGGTCCCTGGCTAACTGGGCCAGAAGGCACTTTCAGTCACGGCAGTACTCAACCTCTAAGACTCTGTTTAAGTGGGAAGGGTTCCCTGGAAGAGAAAGGCAGCTGCATGAAAACTTGCTAAATCAAAAAGCAACTCTGCATTGTGTAAATGTACGAATATGTAACAACATATCCCACCAATGTGACAACTATAAAGTACCAATAAAAAAGCTCGGGAGGCTGAGGCAGGAGATCAGAGTTCAAAGCCAGCCTCAGTGAAAATGAGGCACGACTAAGCAACTCAGTGAGACCCTGTCTCTAAATAAACTACAAAACAGGACTGGAAGTGTGGCTCAGTGGCTAAGTGCCCGGATTCAATCCTTGGTTACCCCCACCCCCCAAAAAAAGAGAGAAAAAGAGAGCCAAGAGCAGAGGGAGTGGAAGGACCAAGGCTCTGGCTGCTGCCTGGTCTGTGACATTGGTGCTGCAGACAGAACTGTCACTCAGAACCCACCACTGACCTTCAGGAAGATGAATTTCAGACTTGTAGGGGAACCACTGCGTTGGTTTAATTGCTGTGCTATGAGAAGTCAATCTCTTTAAATGCAAAGCCATGCATTTGATACTTCTCAAAATCATTAATGCTAGATATTTTTTTTTTCCTTTTAGGTACCAGGGATTTAACTCAGGGTGCTTAATCACTGAGCCATGTCCTCGGCCCGTTTATTTTATTTTTGTTATTTTGAGAGGATCTGACAAAGTTGCTCAAGGCCTCAATAAGTTGCTGAGGCTGGTTTTGGACTTAGGATCCTCCTGCTCCAGACTCCAGAGCTGCTGGGATTACAAGCCTGCACCACCATATGCCTGGCTGTACATATTCTTTATGTGTGTGTATATATTTTTTTTGGGGGGTGGGGGGTGCTGGGGATGGAACCCAGGGCCTCATGCACGCCAAACAAGCACTATACCACTGAACTACCTCCAAGTCCCATTTTATAATCCTTCCAACAACCCTACAAAATAGGTCCTAGGTCATTTTACAAGTAAGGACTAATAAACTTTATCCAGGACAACACAAGCAGGATGCGATGGAGTCACAGTGTGAGATCCACCTGGAATGGGGAAAAAAATATGCCTTTCCCACTAAACACAAAATTTACAAATATAAACTTACAATGATAATTTTAAAATTTACCTTTGCTTTCATTACTGCCACCTTCTGCTTGACCCTCCAATGTTTTGGCAGAAAATGGTGAAGAAACTGGTTTACTCTGGGTAATATCTTTACTAAATAAACTGGAGTTTCCAGGTGAAAATGAAAATCCAGCTGAGGGACCAGAGCTCAGTGAGCCCAAAACAGAGCTATCAATTTTCTTGCCGAAATTAAACGAGACACTTGCTGCTTCTGGTGCTGTGTCGGTCTTCTTTTCAGACACAACTTCCATCTTCTTCTCAGATGTGTCCTCAGTTTTGTTGCCATGAAACAAAAATGTTGACTCTTGTGGTAGTTTTGCTGAACCAAACAGGGAAGGGGTCTGTGTGTCAACTGACATCTGGCTTGTTCCGCTTTCAGAGTTTCCACTGCCACTGTTGTCATGCTGTTGCTCAATAGTGGCCAGGTACTTCTCATAGTCCTTAAAGATGGGTGTCAGGTCACACAGGGGGTTTGTGTTCACGTGCTTCACTATCCAGTCCCGAACCGAGCAGTTCAAGGCCGCCAGCTGTTTGTGGTAGGTGCTCCCTGCACAGGCTGTGCTAGAAGCAAGGCTGGAGGACGAGGGCTGCGGACTGCTGCCGTTGGTTTTGGGATCTGAAATCTTTTTATCCAGCAAGGCAGTTGGGCCATTTGCAGCAAAAGAACCTATAGGAAATTAAAGTTTGAACAATTTATTTTAAAACTAATTTGATGAAGCCATCTGGATTTTTACACCACTCTTCTGTCTTGTTCTGCTTTAACTATACCCTGTTTTGTAGCACTACAACAAGTGCGTGTTCAAGAGGGAATATTTAGGATCTGGGTATCAAGGCTGGTTATGGCAAAGAGCAGTATTCACTGTATGACTACATTAAGCCTCTGTATTTTTAAAGTAAAAATTTTTCCTTTAAAACAATGTTCATTTCAAACAGAACTGGCAGAAATATTGTTAGTAAAAGATTTTAATTCTCAAAGTTGCTGGCAAAAACATATATTAAAGTAGTTCAAACTGTAACAGAAAGTACATAGTATAAAAATCGAACAGTATAAACTTTCAGAATAATTAGCTAAATAAAACCCAACCAGTCAGGATCCCATGATCCTGTTCTCTGTGTAAATCCCAAGAGTTCTTGACTAACTCCATTAAAACAGGATCAGGTAATCGACATATTTTGTTCAAACATGGCCTGGGAGGGCTCTGTGACCAGGGACAGTGTCATGGGAATTCCCAGTGACCATCGTGGTAAGAAGCACACATAACCCTTGGTACACATGTCCATAATGAATTAATGGACAAGCAGGCAAACCTTCATAAAGGGTCTATGAAGTATTTTTCCTTTTCACCTCATTTTTTTATTTTGCTGCACTGGGGATGGAATCCAGGGTGCCTCAGCCATGCTAAGCAAGTGCTCTACCACTGAGCTACAACCTCAGCTCTCTTAGGTCAATTCTGAAGGTCAGAGGTTAAGGAACTTTGCCAAGATCATATAGTTCATAACTGGCAGAACTGAGCTCAGAATCCAGATCTGTTTTGGCTTGAAACCTTGTGCTCTGCTTATCTGCCTACTGTATATACATAGCCAATATCTCCCCAAAGTTCCATCCCTGACATTACTGTTGTTTCTGCTTACAGACTGAGGACTGAGGGTTTGTACAAGAGAAACTTCTTTACAAAGTTATTTCTCCTAGATTCCATTCATATGAGGTGGCTGAGGAGGGGGGCTACTTACCAAAGGTTGCCTTAGGCTCTGCTGCTGCCCTTGCACCAGTGAAGGGAGGGGCACTAGTGCTGTTTCCATTAGATAGTCCTTCCAGAGGCTTCCCTCCAGGGCCACTACCAAATGCAGAAAAACCTCCACCTCCAGAAGGCACAACCAAGCCTTTAAAACCTTTGAAGGCTCCTCCACTGTCAGACTGCAATATGAGCAGAGAACACATGTTAGGAAAGGGCCTTTCCTATCTGCAAATAAGCAAGGAAGTGACAATATCCTCTTGACTGCTGAGCACCCAGTTTCCACAGGTAATCTGTACTGCACGAAAAACTGGCGGCGCAACCAGCACTGCATGGAAAGACTGCATTTGAAGGCCTGGCGATCCAAAGCTGGCACCTTCAGGCAGGCACCATTTACAATCAGTTATATTTTTAAAAATGTCTTGTGCATACATAGACATAAAAGGTTAATAGAAATCAATGCAATAAATCCACGTACCTCCCATCCAGCTTCAGAATGGTAACTGAACACACACCTAATACAACTGAATCTGAAGGAAAGATCCTTCATGTACCTTCCAAAGGCAACTTACCTAAGGAAGTTTTAGAAACATCCCATTAGGTTAACTAAAGGTATTTTACCATTTATCTCATTTCCTAGGAACTTTTGTTGTTTTCCAGTTGTTCTCAGCCTAGAGAGCTTCAGAAAATGGTCATATTTCAAATAGAGATTTCCCAGTAATTGAGCAATCCCAGGGCATTTTTCTTGCTGCTTTCTTAAGTTTGACGTCTTTGACAAGACCTTTCTAGCAGCCTCTCCCCTTGTGCTAGCTTGCTCATATCTCTAATCATAGAGGCTCTGGAAATGTTTGGCATTCATTAGGAAATTCTAAAGCTGCTTTCTGTCCCTGGGGGGCTTCTGGAGAACAGTTTCTCATTTTACAGTGTTTTGCTAAACTGGCTATAATTTTTTTTTATAAATCTTTCATCCATTTAAAATAGTGGTGACACCATAGGGAACAATCTGCTTCTCCCCCAAAGAGTACACACATAAATGTATCAACCACCATCTCATCAAAAAATCACCTCAACCAGACCTCTTCACTGTCTAGATGGGCCAGTGAGCCTGAATACTACTGCATATATTTCTAAAAACACAGGTGTCAATCAACTCTACAAAATTCCAGATGTTTACTGACCACTGAAACACACTAGATTTAAAGTTACAAGATGTTTACAGCTATTTTAGAAATTACTGTAATTTAGCAATAGTAAATTAGCTCTAAAATAACCCCCCAAACCAACAAAAACCACTATTAAAAAAAAAGGAGAGACACATAAGACAGACCTTCAGAAGAGTGAGAAAAAGAACTGACTGGGATGTACTCAGTTTGGCTCCTTGGGCCCTGAAACATTATGATATTCCCCAATCTCCCCAATTTTTCTTTAGGATTCATATGGAGGAAAAAATATAGACCCTTAAACTTAATTTAGAAGTTAAATTCCACAAAACAAAGATATTCTGGATTATTTTATTATCCATAGATCTCCAGTGCTAAGATCTGTTTAACAGGCAAATCCACTAGTTGGGAAAAGCCACATTTGTGCTTATAGCAAATGATATGACATTATTTTTCAAATATCCAAGTTTCATGAAAACTAGAGGCTAAAAGTTATAACCCAAATTAAATTTGGATTTCAATTATCCACGTATATTTCTGTCCCTTCCCAGTTCCAGGGCTCACGACAGAACACCCTCCCCGGGATTCTCCTTCTGCTGACCTGCTGCTGCCCACTCCTCACTATGGGCTCCTTCTGACTGCCTCTTCGTCCACTCTGGTGGTGTCTCCGCCATCTGTGTGGTGAGAACTCCCAGCACCCCATCCACCTCTCACCCGCCCTAATTCCTGTTCTATATCCAGTGTCTTGGAGAGAACTTAACAGGATTTTCAAATGCCACATTTGCAAACTGAACTGTCTCATCCTTAATTAAATTATTCCATCTTTCCTCGCATCTTCTCAGTGAGAGAACTACCAACATCACTCGGCTCCATACCACAACTGCCAACCAGTCACCAGTCTTAAGGTAATAATGAAATCAGACCAGGAAAAAACAAAACCCTGGAATTAAAATAATAACAACTAAACTCAAGACATATACTTAGTAGAGTTAATGTGCTGAGCTTTAAGTGTTCTTACCAAATTTAAAAAAATAAATAAGGGCTGGAGCTGTAGCTCAGTGGCAGAGTGCTTGCCTAGCATGTGTGAGGCACTGGGTTCGAGCCTTAGCACCACATAAAACAATAAACAAAATAGAGTCATGCTATCCATCTACAACTACAAAAAAAAGTGTGATAATACAAGCTAGTCAACTCACTTAGCCATTCCACAATGAATACTAATTCAAAACATTATGCTGGGGTTGTGGCTCAGTGGCAGAGGACTTGCCTTGCACATGTGAGGCACTGAGTTCAATCCTCAGTACCACATAAAAAATAAACAAAATAAAGATATTAAAAAAAAAATTCACGCTGTACCACATTTGTTAATTGTAAAAGATAAAAATCTTCAAGCTGAAATTATTTTAAAAATAGAAGTCCTACTGGCCGTAGTGGTGCATGCCTGTAATCCCAGCACTTTGGGAGGGTGAAACAGCAGGATTATAAATCAAATGCACCTGGGTCCAATCCCTGGTACCAAAAACAACAAAATACAAGACCTGACTGCTAGGTGCGTTCTGAAGAAGTCTGCATGCCATCCCTTCCTTCACTAAGACTTGTTCCCTGTCTCCTTTTGGGCAGCACTACCCTAGACAACCTCAGGTTCCATGTCAAAGAGCTTTTACAGCTCCAGGAAATGAGGTCCTCTAGAGCAGCCATGGAGCAGAGAACGGGTACTTATCATCACTACATTCTACATGTGTACAAGCGACCATATAGAACCACCTGAGAATCAGTTTGCTTTATGATTGCATTTGTCCGCCCTGAATTACACGGTGCATATATTCTAGGTAAAGACGTTTTTAAAAACTGTTTTCCCCTTAACACACACCATCATTTATGCAACACTGATTCACTACGTAACTCTAGCTGTAAATTTCTTACTAATTGCCTTCCCAAAGCCTCTGTCTGCCCACCTCCTTCTTCCTTCCTTTATACATTTTCCAACTTAAAACCTATGATGAAAACCTTCAAAAATAATAAATTTTCTTTTTGTATTTTGTGGTCTCGCTGTGTTGCCCATGCTGGCCTTAAACTTTTGGGCTCAGGTGATTCTCCTACCTGCCTCTGAGGAGCTGGGACTACAAGTATGTGCCACCATGTCTACCTACTATTTCTATAATAAGGATTCCATTTTATTGTTTCTCAAGGTGAGAACAGAAAGGGAGGGGCTGGGGCTGAGCAGTAGCACACTTACCTGGCATGTGTGAGGCACTGGGTTTGATTCTTAGCATCACATATAAATAAATAAGTAAATAAAAAATAAAATAAAGGTCTATCAACAATTAAAAAAGAAAAATATAAGAATACAATTCCTTTGGGATTGAAACTTGAGAAATGCAGAATGTGTGGCTAAGGAGGTTTATTCCAAAGCTGCCATGCAAGATGTCTAAAGCTGTTTCTCCTGCCTGACAATAGATATCCAAGATTACCAAAACCACACTTGTGGGTCTGGAGTGTCAAGGGTGAGGACTGTACTGGGGAGGAGTTCTGAAAGGTGGGGTGACTGCTGAATAGTGACCACATGATTCCAATTCAGGAGTTACAACTCTTCTTTTTTTGCACTAAGGATCCAACCCAGGGCCTCACTAGGCAAGTGCCCTACCACTGAGTTACACCCCCAGTCCTCATCTTTTATCTTTCCGAGCACAAGAACGAAATATCTTAATATACTAAACTAGAAAGAAAACTGACACATTTCTCGCATAGTGAAGGAACTACTCCCTATAATTTGGTCCCAGGAGTAGGTGAAGACTTGAAGACACCTCTTCAAGTCCCCTTCTTATCCCACCATACCACATCTCCAGCCTATGAACTCCTACACTGGCTTTTACTCTCACGGTGTCACTGGGCTTGCATTTGCCCCTCTCATCTTACTTCCTCAAACAGACACGCTTCCTTTAAGACATGGATGTGACATTGATTACTTTCTTCTCTCTCCCGTGAGCTACACAAAGGAGTAAGCATTTTTTAAAAAAAAGCATTTGTTGCTGTGATTGTTCCCAAAGGAAGAAAAGGTCTGTATTCAGAAAGAGTCAGTATTCAGTAGCAAAGCCACTAAGAAGGCACTTACTTCAGACCCAACATTTCTCCGCTTTGCTTTCTTTATGGCTCTATTCTTCAAGACTTCCTCACTGGCCACTGAGAATGTTCCCACCTGCAGGGCATACGAATTAAACACAGAAAGATTAAGGACAAAAGGAGGTAAAATGCTGAACAAAACAGCAAGCGGAGACAAATTTACCTAATATGGCTTTAAAATACTGTTAATGTTAATACTATGGAGAGAGCTTGTTAACAGAAATGGCTTACATCTACCTAAAGCAGAAGATGGAGTGTTAGGGAAGGAGAAGGGTTGGGGAAAGCAAAGGGGAAGGTGTGGATGGGCAAGAGAGGGCAGGTGGATACCATCAAAGCATGCTATATGCATTTGGGAAATGTCACAGTGAAACCCATTAATTTATACGACTAATATGATTAACAATTAACAGAAAATAGTGTGTGTGTGTGTATATATATATAAATATATATATATTTATATAAATATAAATTTTTTCTTGTGGATTCCACTTCTAGCTAGGCAAACCATCTACCTTCTACAATATACAAATCCAAACTTCAAATTCCAATTCAAAGAGAGGAGTATATACAACAGTTTTTGAAAAGATAAGACCATCAAAACTTTGGTGCCAATTCTTCAAATTTTTGGATATATACTGGATACTATTAATAAATGCCGCAGTCTGTATGGGCACAAAATAACCGAGCCGCCACACAGCCTTGTAGGTTCAAACAGCAACTCTTTATTCCCGAACTCTCACCGGCACTATACACACACTTCCCGGGAATACACTCCCTCCACCGGGCTCCTTGCGCCAATTCTCAACTTCTCCCAGAACCGAGAACTCCAAAGTAGCAGGCGCCCAAGGCAGCAGGATCCACCCTAATCCCGGAGCCGCCCTATTCCCGGAGCAGGGTCACCTTTCAACCATTCCCTCTAGCAAAATGCCAGGCATCATTCCGACTAAACTGTGGCTCAACAAAAGTTTAGAAAAAAATTAAAGGTTTCTTTAAAAAATATAAGCTATCATTTAAAAACAGAAAAGTATCTTAAACATCATGAATAGCTGATGGGGCAACCCACTGTGAAACCCAGATGCCTGTATCTACTCTAATACAGTTTTTAAAAATAAATTTTATTTATAACACCCCTGCCCCTTTTGTTGCAGTGCTGGTGACTGAAATCAGGGCTTTGTGCATGCTAAACAGGCACTCTATCACTGAGCTATACCCCAAAGCCCACATACACATGATTTTTAAGAAAAGAGTCCTGGCTGGAGGGTCACAGGTTCAAGGCCAGCCTGGGCAACTAGCAAGACACTGTCTCTGTCTCTCTCACACACAGGGTGAAGGGCTGGGGATGTAGCTCAGTGGTAGAGCATCTCTAGACTCTACCTCCAGGACCGAGAAAAAGAAAATCCTGCCCAACTTGCCCACCAAAAGGCGATGGAGGCTCCCAGCATTGTACTCTGACTACTGCCCTTCCATAACATGCTAAAAGTCCTATGTCTGCAAACTGAAGTTTGCTAATGATCTTTGTCTTAACTTGAACTCTTCTTTTATCCTGTAGGGCTAGAGCATGCTGGGAGCCATTAGCCAAGTAGGTATGACAATTTCCTTGCCAGCATACCCCATGTTGCAGTGACATTGAATGTAGGTGACCTTGCTCAAGGACCAAGGCGGATTAGGGCGTTCCGGGTTTAGGTTCCAGGTTTAAGGTTTAAGATTATTCCTGCTGGGAATAGGGCGTATCCTGCTGCCTGAGTTCCCCTTGAGTTCTCACGGGATTCAGACAGTATTCTTTGGGAGATAGAAGCCCAGTGGAGGTGGATTTGGGCAGAGAACATGGATTTCCCCAGAACGTGTTTGTAGATGGCTGGTGTGAGTTCGGGAATAAAGAGTTGCTGTTTGAATCTACAAGCTGTGTGGTGGCTCGTGATTGTGTGCCCAGCCAGACTGCGGCATTTGGTGGCCCGTACGGGGATACTTCTTGTAAATAAATACTTCTTGTAAAGAAATCTCATTTATAATTACTGCAGATCATATAAAACTTAAAGGTATTCATTCTTACACCTACACAAGGGATCATTTGGACACACTTGTCCCAATTAAATGTAATTAATGCAATCCTTCCATACTCATGTCATTAGAACCTGTCCAAGTGGGACTTTTTTCATTCCTGAATATTTTAATGCCAAAGAAAATCATTATACGGTAGTCTAGATTTTACTATAGCCCTGAATGTATCCGTGCTTAGACCTGAGGAAAAAAAAAATCCGTAACAAAGGATTCACTGGTGGCTGGAGTCATAGTTCAGTGGTAGAGCGTTTGCTTAACGTGTGAGGCACTGGGTTTGATCCTTAGCACCACATAAATAAAATAAAATTAAAATAAAGGTATTGTGTCCATCTTCTTCTTTTAAATATTTTTTTTAGATGTAGTTGAACACAATACCTTTATTTTTTATTTATTTTTATGTGGTGCCGAGGATTGAACCCAGTGCCTCGCACGTGCTAGGCTAGCACTCTACCACTGAACCACAACCCCAGCCCTGTGTCCACTTCTTTAAAAAAAAAAAAAAAGTTTTGCTGGGGGCAGTGGCACAAACTGTAATCTCAACAGCTCAGGAGGCTGAGGCAGGAGGATCAGAGTTCAAAACCAGCCTCAGCAACTTAGTAAAGCCCTAAGCAACTCAGTGAGACCCTGTCTCTAAATAAAATACAACAAAGGGCTGGGGATGTGGCTCGGTGGTTAAGCACCCCTGGATTCACTCCCCAGCATCAAAGAAAAAAAGAAAAAGACTCAATTCCAAGTCAGCCAGGCATGGTGTCACCACCTGTAATACAAACTACTGGGGAGGCTGAGACAAGAGAAGCACAAGTGTAAGGCCAGTCTAAGCAACTTAGCAAGATCCTGTTTCAAAATAAAATTCTAAAAAAGGGGCTGGCAATGTAGCTCAATGGTAGAGCACTAGCTTAGCACACATGAGGTCGTGGGTTCAATACCAAGTACCAGAAACAAAACAAACCACACCAAAAACACACACAGAAAAACCTTGAGTTAAAGGTCCTGTGAAAACATTAACACACTGTGATTTTGGTTCCCCAAAACCAAATAAATTTTTTTTTAAAGTAAAGTATATCTACTTCTAAAGGAAAATAAAAAAGTAACAGAAAGATTGATTCAGAAAGGAAGATATTAGTCAAAGAACAAGCTTAGAAATACTCCTGTAAAATTCTTTTATCTTTTTTCTTTTCCTTTCTTAGACTATGTTATAAATTTGAAAGGCTAAAAACTTGGCTACAGATGTCCTGAGTGAACTGGCCTAGCAGTATCAACTGCTGGTGAGACACTAGAAATGCAATTACATGGTGAGATTTATTCAGGGAAGACGATTTTCATTTTGCTTCTAAAGAAACTACAGACTAGGAATTCTATTACTAATAATGCAACTGCTGGGGGTATCAGCTCTACCATCAGAATAGGAACGAGAAGAATTTGAGTAAGGCAAACAACCTCAACTTCTGAAATCTAAAGTGACAGGGACAGCAGCCTGAGATGGTGATGCGTTTCCTACCTGAGTGCCAGCACTGAGCTAGCCTCATGACCAGATCACTTAAGTCATTCTTCAGTAATGACTAAAATGACTTATTCAAAATCATGGGTTTAGAATGCTGCCAAGTATATGAAATTCAGGGGGAAGGTGCTTTTCCAAAGAATATTTTAGGAGCAGGCACTAGTGGAAAAGCACACAAGTCACAAGAAACCACAGTACCACCCATTTGGGATGTTCTTAAAATGTCTGACTTAATTCTACCACACTTCTTCAGGAAGAACCCCAAAATGAACTAAATGTAGGTACAATAAGAAATCATTTTGGGGGGAACTTTTTTTTTTTTTACCTCTTCAGCTTCATCTTCTTGGTCCCAGTTTCTATCTGTCAATTCCTTCTCGGCAATTCTTTTGGCCATTTTTTCGAATCTAAATCACAGAAAACAGAGAAAAAAAAACGTAACCTTTCTAGATCAAGATATGGCTTTCACAAAGAACTATAAAAATTAAGAATTTTAAAAATTCACTCTAGTAAGAAACAAAAACATTAGTGATGCCAGTAGAAACTGATTCAATATGGATGCACCAACATTCTGAGAATGTGTAGTGCTTCAAAAACAGATCATCAGCTTAACTGACAGCATTACTTCAGCAGTGGATTCCTATCCACAGAGTGTGCTTGTGTCCATCCCTTTAAATTTGCAATTATTTCCTGTCCTAACATCACATACATTGCTGTTTAAGAAGCAACAGCAACAACAAAAGAAAAAACAAAACAAAAAACTAGAACTGAGAGCTTTGTTTGGGGGTAGACTGGTTTCTTTACTAATTCACCAGCCAAATAGACCAAAAAACCCTTCCCATTTAATTCTTAGTACCCTCCAGGGCTGACTAAACTTACCTGAATTCCTTCCTGAGTTTGTGCTCAATACCACAACCTACGAGATTAAGCTTCCCAAAATATCCAAGTCATTAAGACACAAATTCATAGATCACCTACTGCTATAGAACAAAATTCAGATGTTGATATTCCAAAGTCTTCCAAAATCTAATGTCTAAGGGCTTTCAGCTTTTAGTAAATCTTTAATAGTCTTTGAAATCTCTCTTACAAGTATGTTCTTTTTTTCTGATTACGGAATGATTTAAGTCCAAGATTTTAAAATATAAAGTATGAGATTTAGCATAGTTTCCAGCATCACCTGAGAGTCTTCTCTTCTTAATGCCTCCCCAAAAACACTTGGTCAATTTCTGCTATTGATTTTTTCACAGAAACAAAAACAAATAGAGGAATAGATAAAATTCCTTACTGAACTATTCAGACTGTCTCTGGATTCTTCGGGCTATTCATTAACTTCGCCACCAGAGGGCGAAAGAGGTGAGAGGTTGGAGTGATAATGTTATCAAAGATTTAACTATGGAGCAAAAGGGGTGGAGTTGAAAAAGGAAAAAAAGGTAGTAAGAAAATTTTGCTGGGGGCAAGGGTGGTGGTGTACAATCCCAGTGACTAGGAAAGTTGAGGCAGGAGGATCTCAAGTTCAGGCCAGTCCTGCAAGTTAAAGTTAGCAAGACCCTGTCTTGAATTAGAAAAAAAAGGGGTGGGGGATGGGGTGGGGGCTTGTAGTAGGTTTCAGTGGTAGTAGATCCCAGGATTCAATACCCAGTATTGGGGGGCGGGAGGTAAGTTTAATATCTAACTCACACCTATACCTTTAGAGATAACTGGCAGAGTAAAACAAGCTAAATTAATGTAGTAGCTTTCATTTTCGAACACACTTATCAAGTCAGCATAACCAGAAAGCAGGGAGGTTAGTTTTGCCTACTGAAGTTCTCCAAATACCCCAAGCTGTTCAGCTCCTAGAGGTTCTATCTGTTGTTGAATCAGTGATCTTGGGCACTACATATATGAGAAAACCCAAGAGGCTGGCATCTGATTTTGCCATTTTCTAGCTGTGAGATCTTGAGTAATTAATTTTTCTGCCTCAGTTTCTTTATCTGCAGGGCAGGGAAGAGTTCATTAGGAACATTAAATGAGATAAAGAGCTTAGTTACAACAGTGCCTGGAACAAAGAAAGAGCTTTATAAGTATAATCGAAGAAAAAAGTTTTCTTAGAAACAGAGGCTATTTTTTTTTCCAAAACTTGTAAGTCGTAGTGTAGAAAAAGACAGTTCCAATATGCGCCGGACTTTAAAAACCATTTTTTACCAAGTTCGTATGTTATTCCAAAGCATGTCACGAGATAAGGCTGCCCTTTTTAGACACAGAGAGGGGACTGATACACCTGTGTGCAATGGAGCAAGGCCAGGCGCCCAGGGTCCTCGGCTGCGGTTACGGGGCACACAGGCCGGCCGGGGTGCCCGGGGTGCGGCGGCAGACCTCCGCGACGACGCCCGGTGCTGGGAACCCGAAAGTCCGGGTGACAGGGGGCGCCTCGGCCCCGGGAGGACGCCTGCAGTGGCGCCTCCGAGAAGAGATCTGACCCGGACGGGGAAGCACCTGCTGGAGGACGAGGGAGGGGGCCGCCGGCGACGCCGCGGAAGACCCGCATCCCCACGCCGCTGCTCGGAGGCCGGGCGACGGCGGGAAGCGCGGGGCACGGCGAGGACGCGCCTGAGGGAGGCCGCCGCCCGCCCGCCGCAGGCCCGGGGCGCGCCCGCCCGAGCTGCGCCGCCGCTTCACAAACGCCCCGCCGCGTCCGGCGCCCCGCCGGCCCCGGCCCCGCACGTCCCCGTCCCGGCCCCGCCTGTTCCTTCCGACCCCGGCCGGTCTCGGACGTCCCCGCCGCCCTCCACCTGTCCCGCACCTCTCCGGCGGCCGCCGCAGCTCTCGCTGGCTCGTGGGCGCGGCGGCGAGCAGGGACGCGGTGGCGATGGCTGCGCTCGGGGCCCAGGCGGCGGCGGGACGCTTCCGGTGCGCTGAGAGCCTCGGAGGACTTGGTGGCCAGCAAGCCCGGAGTCTCCAACACCATGTCCCCCGGGGGCCGCGTGTCTGTGAGCTCGGCACCGAGACGCGGAGACATCCACTAAGCCAGAGACCACCAGGGAAACGGCGGGGAGCGCACTCTAGGCCGCCATTTTGTAACTCGAATCTACCCCTCAAACCCGATTCGAAGAAAAAGGAGAAACGCCCGCGTCCGGCCACTGCGCAAGCGCGTCCGAGTGGGGGCAGAAGCACCTCCTTCCCCAGGCCGCAGGGCGTCGCGCGGCGCATGCGTCCAGCGCTTTGGAAACGGTCGCCGGGAGGAGCGCGCCCGTCGCACGCATGCGCACACGCCTTAGGCGGCTGCGGGGAGGTGGGCGGTCGCAGCCGCAGCTCACGCGCACGGGTGACGTGTGGGCCACCTTCGAGTTGAGGTCGGTTCGCGCGGAAGTCGCTGCTGAATCTTCGGAGGGCTGGTGCCGGGCGAGGAGCCCTGGAGGGCATGGTGGGGGCCCCGTCGCGGTGAGCCTCGCGGTGTCCGACCTGCCCCCGCCGCCCCCGCGGGGAGGAGGTGGGGCCTTTGTGACGTCTTCGCGTGGGGGGGGGGCTGCGGGGAGAGGAGCCCGCCTGCGGGGCGCCGGGTCCCCCCAGGGCTCCGGAGGTGAGAGCCCTTCACTATCCTCCACTAGCCGTGGCAAGCTGTCGGAAAGGAGCGCTTTTTAGAGCTGTGTGGTTTTTTTTTTAATGTCTATTTTTAGTTGTTGATGGACTTTTATTGGCTTACTTATGTGCGGTGCTGAAGCCAGATTTAAAGTTAGGTAGTCAGTGTAGTTAGGTAAATCGGGCCTAATATGGAGTAAGATCTGAAATGGAGGCCACATTGAATAAATTCCGGGAAACGCAGGACAACTCATGGAATGTCAATATAGTCCCTGAGAAAAGCCCTAGGCCCAAAGTCCATACCGAAGAAATGTTAATGAACAGCCCCAGCAGATTTGAAGTTAGCCCATCCCAAAGAAATGTTAATGAAGTCCTTCCTGCCCAGATTGCTTCTTTGGCCCACTTGTGTCCCACCCCTCAGGCCTTCCAGCCTACATTTCATCACTGAAAGAACTATAAAAAGGGGAAACAACCGCACTTCCACGGATTCCACCTCTTGGGTCCCCTTCTTCTTCCGGAGAAGTCTTTTCTGCTGTCCTTTAATAAACTTCTAATTTCTACTCTGACCTAGCCTCCGCGTGCTTCTCTGGTGTTATTCTTCAACATTGGGGAAGCAAGGACTGGTCACCGGCCAACAGTGGTAACAGTGCCAGGCAAGCGCTGTACCCCCCGCCCCAGCCCCATCCCAGCGCCGGGGTTCTCGACCCTCTGGGTGAGGGTATGGAGAGTCTAAGGACGCTGCCAACAGGCCTGGAGAAAACGGGGCTCTGCATACCTCCAGGGTGTTCCAGGGACCCCTTGTTTAGCTCTGCTTAAGCCGAGAAGAGATTGCATTTACAGCCCACGCGCCCTGATCATGGTTCCTTCCCTGTGGATTCAGCTAACACAGATCCAAACTATTCAGGGGGAAAAAAAAATTGTAAAGGACATGCACAAACTTTCCCCTCATTGTTCTCTTAAATACTAGGACCATTTACATAGCATTAACCGTGGGCACTGGCCAGGCCCTGGTACTTGGATGCTGAGACAGAAGGATGAAGGACCTAGCCATTTAGAGCACAGTCTGGGCAACTTAGGGGGAGCTTCCCCAAAAGTAAATGAGATATATGGGAGGATGTGAATAGGTCATATGCAAACAGCATGTCATTTTATGTAGGGGACTTCATCATCTAAGGATTTTGATGTCTGCCAGAGGATCCTGGAACCTGTTCCCCCTGGACATGGGGTTTACTATAAAAGGGTTAAAAAAAAAGTGGTACCTATGTTGGTTATTTAATAAAGCCAGATTTATTCATAGCTAATATATTTACTTCCCCCAAGAAATCCAAAGCATTGATATTGGCAGATGTTTTGTTCTTAGAAGGATAAATGTGGAGAGCAATATCCAGCCAGAGATCTGTATTAGATTGTGAATAGCTAGATTTTGGGCATTTTTTTTTTTTTTTTTTAAATATAGGAGGGATGGTACTGTGAATTGAACCTAAGTGCATTCTACCACTAAACTGCATCTCCAACCCCCCCCCCCTTTTTTTTTTAATTTTATTTTGAAATAGAGTCTCACTCAGTTGCCCATACTGCCCTTGAACTTATGATCTTCATGCCTCCGCCTCCCGAATAGCAGGGACTTACAGGGTTGTACCATTGTGCCTCATTTGTATTTCTACATTTTGATAAATCTTTTATACCAGGCTGTATTAGAGTTCTCTAGAGGAACAGAATCAACAGGAAGTATAATTATAAAAAGGGGATATATTAGGTTGGCTCATGTGACCAGAAGTTGGATAGTCCACAATGGCTGTCCGCAGGTGGAGAGCTGGAAGAACCCAGTAGCTGCACCGTGCAAGAGGCTGAAGCCCCAGTATAAGAGGGATCAATGGTACTACCCCAGTCTGAGACCAAAGTCTTCTGGAGAATTACTGTCACAGTCTGCTTTGGAAGAGTGAAGAAACGAGAATCTGATATCCTCAGAGGATCACAGCAGCAACCAAGAACTGGCTCAAGAAGAATCCAGCTTGCTTCTGCTTTCTTGTTTTTCCAACTTTTTTTTTAAATACTTATTTTTTATTGTAGTTGGACACAATACCTTTATTTTATTTATTTTTTATTTTAATTTTTTATGTGGTTCTGAGGATTGAACCCAGGGCCTTGAACATGCTAGGCAAGTGCTCTGCCACTGAGTCACAATCCCAGCCCCCTTGTTCTTCCAACTTTTATTCCTTTCCAGCCATCATCCTATTGGATGGTGCTGCGCATGTTTAGGGAGGGTTTCCATTTCAGTTTGCTATCCCACATGCCAATCATTCCTAGACACACCCTCACAGACACACCAGCAATCCTCTTAATCGAATCAAGCCGACAATTCAATTTGATACCAGCCTTGTGACTTGAATGGATTAACATGAACTGTGTGTATAACTAGTTGAAAACTGTAATCAGAGTGTTGACTCTTAGTTTTCCCATTATTATAACAAAATGCCCGAGGCTGGGTAACTTTATAGAGTCTTATTTTGCTCACAATTCTGGAGGTTCAAGAGCATGGTGCTGGCATCTGCTTGGTGCTGGTGAAGGCAGCCTATCCTAGTGGATGGTCTCACAATGGCAGGAGTAGGTACAAGAGGGAACCTCCTGTGACTAGGCAGGAAGCCAGAGTGGAGCTAGGCTGTATAACAATCTTCTGTGAGAATTAAGGTGTCTCACATGGTAACTACCTTAATCTCTTCCGAGGTAGCTCCCCTTGACCTAAGGACTTCTCATCAGGCCCCACCTCTAAAGATCCCACCACCTCAGCACCACCGCATTGAGGACCAAGTCTCCAACATGTGAATCCTTCGGGGACAACCCGTAGCAAATAGTGTATTTCAAAGAGAGGTGGCATGCTCTTCAATGTTTTTGTTTTGGTTGATAGAACTTTCAGTACAATGACACGTAACTTGCCAGAGCCCCACCTAGTTGCTTAGTGGCTGAGGTTGGGTCGGAGCCCAGATCTCACCTCCAGCCAACATCCCCTTCCACGTGCCCTTTGAATAAATGGAGCACACACCCACTGTTGAGGGCACCAAGGCTTGTGCAGAGTCACAATAGGCCCTTCTTCCACTGTGCCCTGTACTTCACAATGACTACTTTAAACCCTATCACAAGCCTTCCTCCCTGCCTGCCACCGATCCCCCCTCCAGCCTCTAGCCTCACTCCTTTGTAGAAGAGGCAGGCTTGCCTGTTTGTCCTTGCCCCATTTCATTACCTTCTGTGAATCTTATAAAGATGTCCCATTTTCCTTTTTAAAATTATCTCTTCTTAGTATATAAGAGACAACTATTAACCACATGAACACACCTTTTACTTCATTGGGAGACACATTATCCCCATTTCTGAGTTCCTTTCTGACTTGACTGCACATCTTCAGATTTTGTTCTTTCAGTGTGAAACTCATTTTTTTCTAAGTCGCTTCTAATGCTTTGTTATAAATTGGTGATTTTTAACTTCAATGTACAATCACCAGTCTACTTGCTAAATGGCCTCTAGGTTGTTATTGTGTAAGGAATGTTGTGGTAGACTTTTACAACATTGACATGTGGTTTAGTTAAAAATAGCTTTTATTCTTCGGCTAGAATCGTGGATCAGTGGTAGAGCACTTGCCTAGCATGTGTGAGGCCCTGGGTTCAATCCTCAGTACCACATATAGATAGATAAATAAATAAAAGATCTACTGACAACTAAAAAATATTTAAAAAATAGTTCTTATTTTTATTAATACAACATTTATCTTGTAAGATTAAGCAAAATAACATTTACTTCTTAATCACATTTTAACATGAGGTAATTGTTGCCTTTCTAATGCACATAAAAAATATTTATGCCTATAATAGCACTGAGTAGACTTGCATGTTACCAGATGGATTATTAAAATGACAGCTTTAGTCTCAGGACAGAGGAGGAGAGCTCATGTAGACATCTACCTCCACTGGATTTGGCTATTTCCACTTAGCGAGGCTCTATGTCCCTCATTTTATAAAATAGCCCTTCAAAGGTGTTAGCCAGTTTTTTTCTGAAGCGACCCTTCAAACACCACCTTTCAATTTGCTTAAGCCCTGGGAGCCAAAGGATTTTTATTGTTGTCAGGCTAGTCATTTTCATATTAAGCAAATATCCAGACACATTGGTTTATCCGCTTTACCTAATTAAAAACAGTTTGGGGCTGGAGTGTGGCTCAGTGGTAGAGCATTTGTTTAGCATCCCCAGCCCTACAAACAGAGCAAAACTGAATGAGTTAGTGGTGATCTCATACTGTCTTCCTTTCTGCTACTAAAG